AAAAAAAAAAAAAAAAAAAGAACCCAGGAGATATATTTCGTGTTGTGCTCAATTTTTCCTTATACCTTGTTGAAGCATAAAAACATCAGTTCATATCTCGATATTGTCACTGCCATGAGAGAGAGAGAGAGAGAGAGAGAGAGAGAGAGAGAGAGTCAAACACCTTATCCATGGTAATTGTCTCAGGAGTTGGAAGCAGCTTCCGGGCCTCATGCTGAGTCCCCCCACCTTCCTGTCTTTGGGGAACCTGTGATGTCCACAAACTCAACATAGGAGCAGTATGAGGTGGGAGGTGTTCTATGGTTATTCTTCTCCTGATGAAATGGCTAATAAATAGCTAATGTTATTTCTCATGTACCAGACACTGATCTGAGGGCTTCATGGACAGATTCTCAATAAAGTCCACATTTTACATAGTATTTATTATGATGTTCTCTTTCTTGCTGTGAGATGCCTAGGCACATGGAGAAGTAATCTACATAAGCTTGTAAGTGGCAGAGCCAAGATGCAGAGGTGGAGAGCCTAGCACAGCAGTTACGCCATCACCCTCCTCAAGCACTGTAGTCCAGCTCTGATCTCACACTTAGCTGTCTTACTTTGAACTTACTCTCTTCTCCTTCCCTGTAAAGTATGGGGGAAGAGGCAGGGACAGACACTTGGTCAAACTCACAGTGTCCCAGGTCCCAAAAGACACCATTAATGGTCATTGTCCAGACCCCTGACATCAGACCATTCAGGAGGATGCAGGGCTCTTATTGCTGCTTCTCCTAATAATTCGTTGCAGTATTTATCAGCCTCCCCTGCTCTAAAGTTCTTCACACCCAACCTGACCAAGCCCCGTCAGAGTTAGCCTGAGGTTTGGACATTGAAGCAATAACTAAAATTAACTTTGGACTTCTCTGTGGATTTTTTTTAATCCATGTTCCACTGGCGTGGATCCCTGATATATACAAGCATAAGTAAGATGCAGCAGATCCCAGTGTACTTTGTGGGCTCTGCCCCTGGGAGACAGGGCATCTCCGTGAGTTCTCCTCCAAACTCTCCTCCAGGATTCCCACCTGTGTTCTACCTGTATGAGCACCTCTGCCTCTTACCACGACCACAAGGAACATTTTCCTGGCCAGGAGTTTCTGCTTACCAAACCTCTCCTAAGCTGCATCTGACCTTAATATCAGGTTACTCATGAGGAGGCTCATTCACTGGAAGTGGCCTTTGGGCCACTTCTGAACACACCATCTAGACTGCTGAACCAGGCTGGGCCCTGGAGACCTGTGGAGCGGCCCTCAGTACAGCCTTCACTGTTTTATAGCCTCCTAAAGTAGAAATGAAAGATGATCCAGAACTAAGATTCAGTTCAGTGTAACAGGATCATCTAAGAGAACTTAGAATTAACGGCCCTAGCCGATGTGCTTTAGATCCACCGAGTCCTACAAAATAAAACTCCCATGCCTGTTTGGCTAATATTATGGAAACTGCAGATTTGACAAGGTTCTGGTCATTGGGAAAAGGACATTTGCAGAAATGCAGGCTGCCATGGGATTAGGTGAGCATGACATTTTCATAGGCATTGCCCTGTTGAGGGTCTGAGGGGAAGGCTGGCTCCCCTGTAACTGTACCCCTGGCACAGCTTTCCTTCTGCCCTTGGCTGAGCCAGGAGGAGGTGATGAAAGGAGGAGAGACGCTCTGCACCACCCAGTAATCCTCTTGCCGTTGCCCTCTGGCTGAGAACTCAGTGACCAGGCTGCAGGGAACCTATCTGTTCTCCTCCTGCAGCTGAAAAGAAGTTGCCATCCTGGCTCACCTCCCTTTCTATTTTGGCGCATGGCAAATTCTAGCAATGACCTAAGATTGACTGGGGCTGCATGGGAGGAGGGCCGTGGATACTGGGATTCGGATACGTGCCCACAGTCTGCCCTGGCCCCTCTTTCTGGGTGAGTACTGCATTTCTGTGCCCTTTTGTGCCTAGCAAAAAGAACCCACTTCCATTTGCTTAAAATCACGAGAGCCTGCGTTGCCGCGGGCACCGTGTCTCCCTGTTAGAATGAACAAGCAGCTCTCACTCTCACACTCAGTTAATTGGAGGGAGTACAAATAATATGACAGGCAAACTGCTTTCCATGTTGATACCATTTCCATATGTTGCATTTTTAAAATGTAATTTATATAATGATGTCAAAGCATGGAAGAAAAAATAGATATTTGAAGGTTTTTAAAACAAAGATGAACATCTGATTCCTTTATAAAATTGCCTTAAATTTGATGATCCACATGCAAATAATTTGTATTTTGGTTGTGCTTATCAAGTGTATTCCATCCTTCCTTCCTGAAGTAAGGGAGACAGAATCATTATTGCTGCAGCTGTGTGTATGTGACTGAAGTTGTGACTTTACATGAGCCACGGGGTAAAGCAAGCGTAAATTTCCTATTTTCTACACATTAGCTCATCCTTACCACCCCCAGATACACGTGGCTCCCACGATACCAAGACATCATCCACACAATGGAATCTGTTTGTCCAAGGAGAGGTTTTGGTCTGAGGACACCATGCCCTCAGGCAGAGACACCAGTGATTATTCACTTGACCAACTGTACTGCACCTTCCGTGCCTTTCAGTCCAGCCCCAGAAGGGCTGGATCAGGGAGGAGACACTTGATAGCTGCTGCTTCCATGGTTGAGATATTTGTGAAGTTAGCGCATAATCTGAAAGCAGAAGCTAATAAATTATAGGGTGCTAATTGGAGCTGGAGTGGGCTGTCAATCATGGGATCCTAAACACAGAGAGACCCTCATAGCCTAAAAAGGCAAAGCAGCCTCCAGAAACAGCTCCCAGTTGTTTCCATCATGACCTCGAACACCGTGTCCAGGCAGAGTGGACAGACGCAGAGACAAGCCACTAATCCACTCTGACTTTCAGAGACAGGCAGGCTTTCTGTGGGGAAAAAGATTTAAATAGCTTGCTGAAGAATTAATGTTCAAACTTCAGTATATATTGAATTTACTAGACTAATGATTACTCTGGCAAAGCATGTTACTCTTCATTTAGAATTCTTAACTTTAAAAACAGTTAACTCAAAATGAGCTCTTCTGTGGAAGGTGTCCAAATGCCCTCTACCTTATGGAGTTTCATTATTTCACCTGGACAGCCACAGCATCTCCTATTCCTTTGTTTTGCTTCTTGATTCTCTGAATAAACTGTAGTTCTATCTAAACTCAAGTTTCAAAATGTCCAAAGTGGTTTTACAGAAACTATCTTTCTTATAGCATTTTTATTTCCTATTGAAATGCATAAATGAATATACAATTATCATTACATAAAAGAACTAAAATCTTTTTTCCTAATTTATTTTCGCATCATTTGTATGATCACTAGTTGCTTATTAGAAATTTGTATCAATATTTACTGGAGTGAGTTTATGCTTTATACTTGTATTCATAACTAGGAAATTTTTCATTTACCTCATAGTTTGGAAGCTTAGAATATTTTTAAATTTTCACTTGATAAAAATAATCAAGGATCTTAAAATTTCAAATGCATACTTGGCAGCAGCAACTGTTATGACTGGGGTCATTGGTGACAGTGGCACAATCTGGTTTCCTTGCCAGCTAATGTTCAGCATTTGCTCCTTGAACAAAAGCTTTGCGTTCTCTTCTCTCTCTCTCTCTCTCTCTCTCTCTGTCTTTGGCAGCTCCATTATCAGTCTTATGTCAATAATGGCATTTTGTGAAATAAGATTAATAGCAAAACAGATTTCTTTTTTGCTGTCCATTTGTTCTAGGCACAGTTCTGTTTGTTTCCTTCCTCTCGTGCATTTACCCAGTTTGTGACCCATCTTCGAAAGCTTTTGGATACTTCCTGGCATCATACTTTCCCCTATACTGTTGTTTTATGGAATTTCTTGATGTCTTTGGAAGCATGGCCTAAAACTACTACACTGCTTCCTTCTTCCATTTATTTGTGGACTCTGAAGTCCCGTTTTTACCTTAGGCAGTTTCTTCTCTATGCTCAGAAGGTAACAAAAGGGTGCTGACAGACAGATTTTGGTAAGAAACAGAGCAGAGCTTATGCTATTTGTTCTTCCTTGTTGAAAGGCTTTTTATAAAAACACATTCTTCACTCAGAGTTTCTTTAAAGGAGTAAGAAAAGCATCTGGAGAATTAGGCCTGCACCCTGAGGGAAAACAACTATGAAGTTGTATTCAGTTGGAATTAGATGGAGAGTTACCCTCAACTTTACACCAAAGAGTTCCAAACTAGTCAACAAATGAACACGACAGTGCCGGCCACCGTCATCTCGGGATGTTTGGTCGTTCGATGTTCAAGGAATGTTGCCAGGATAAATGGACCTGGAATTTGGTCCCAAATGAGCTAAACCATCTCCCAGTCTTTCTTGAGATACAAAATATACTGAAAGTAAAAAAGGAAAATAAACAATGCCCCAGCCATGGTGTCACCCTTGCTGCTGATTAATGTAGGCTTTGAGTCTTAGGAGAAAAGAGAGAAAACACAAGAACCCCTGGGTCTTCCCGTATTGCAGACAGCGACAAAGGCAAGACATTATATGTTTACAATTATGCAGTTTAGCAGTGTACACGTTTTAGAACATAAAGCTTCCAAGTACATTTCTAGTGTTGTATCTGGGTACAACTGAAATTCTTGTCACCTCCTTTACCACAAGGATTTCTAATTTGACTGTATAACTTTTATTCTTACTATAAAAAGCTCTAAAAATGACAGTAAGAAGAATGCCATGCATGTTGTCTTTTGGTTTCCTGATCCATCTCTTGTGTTTGTTTCTGCATCCGTCAGTGCTCTGAGTGAAGCTAGAGCTGTCTCGTCAGGGTCCCTAGTGGCACAGGCTCACCGCCAAACAAGTTCTCAGCCCAGAGAGGCACAACCAGAAATTACCCCAATGCCAGAGCATAACTGTTCTGGCTGCTGCTTTTCCTTGATAGAGCCATCTGCATTGTTTCCTCTCACATCCCACACAAGGTTCTTGTAAATTTCTGTCTCCTTCTATGGGAAAAACTTTACACTCTGGCTCTTTTCTCCAAATGCTATCTCATCCTCATCTCAAAGGCTACCTCTGATCTCAATTTACACCTAACCCCTGTAGTGCCAATGTGGCATTCATAGACCAGAATGATATATCTTTAATTCAGGATTTCAGGGCCTCAACAGTCTCAAGGATTTCTCATTTACACCTGACCCTAAACTTATCAGGCATAGCATTGAGTAGGTGCTACTAATTTGTGAAAAGCATAAATTATCACATTAAAAAGTTTTAATTATGTGCAAATTATAAAGCACAAGTACAAATTTTAAAAAGCAAACGCTCCTGGAAGCCTGCTGCAGCAAAGAAAATCTTATTAGCAGGAGTGGGGAGAGGCTCTGTCTCTGGTAGTGAAGCCAGAGTCAAACACCCGTTCCTTTACTCAACCCTGTCGTCTGCCCAAGGACATCACCTCCACAATTACCTCCTCTTCTGGCATCTTTGCTTTTGCCTCTGCTGGATCATTAGCATTAATACAATATTTCCTGTCTTAAACAAAAACAAAAAGCTCCTCTTGACCCCTTCCTTTCTTTCTCCCTCCTTCCCCTTTAAACGGCAAAACACCTCAATGATTCATTTCTTGCTCTCTCTCTTAACATTTCTGTTTTCTGCTGCACCCACGACGATTTGGCTTCTACACACACCTGCATGGCCGTCAGTGAGCTCTGTGTGGCCGAGCCTGAAGATGTGTGCTAGCAGTCTTTCCAGTCGCCTCCTCTTTGGATGATACATCAGTTTGGAGCCCGAGAGGGAGATGCCCATGCAAGTACCAAACACCCCAAGCCATGTTCATAGGTCCCAGCAGAGACACTGTAGCTGGGCAGCACCTGGAGCTGGGGCTGCTGTGTGACTGACTTGTCCTTCTCAGGAACTGTCTGGTTTCTGAGGAGTCCTGTGAAATAAATCGAGTCATGGTAGACACCTGCACACCTTTAGTGATGGCAGGAGTCATGGCAGTTCCCCTGGAATTCCATGTTAATCGTGATTTACTCTTGGGGCTGGGCAGGTGGGGGATGGAGGAAGAGGGTATTTTCAGAGATTTCCACTTGGCCTTCCACACTATGGTATGTTCTACTGTCAGGGCCCCATGAAAAGGGCAGCTCCAACCACACAGTCTGTTGATCCCAGTTTTAGATAAAATACTGGAGAATGAGCATGGGTGGGTTTCAGACCCGGTGGACTCAGTATAAATAGACTTTAGTACTCCGTTTGATGAACCTCAGCAAGACAGGAGATAAACTGATGCTTCACTGTCACCTCAGACCCGGTGTTCAGGAGTCTGACATGTCTGGGAGTCCTCTGTTCCTTATATGCACCCATAATGGTGTGGCAGTCTTTCCACCCAGGATCTGTTGACTTGGGAGTGACAATGGCAGCTATTCCTCCTTATTGCCCTTGTGAGGGTTAATCTTAGGTATCAACTGATCAGATGAGTGGGCTGCTTAAGGAGGAGCCCCCATCACTCAATGTGGGTGGGCTCCAGCCAGTCAGCTGAGTCCAGACAGAACACAAATTCATCCTCTGTTTCCACCCCACCTTCCTCTCTCTTTCTATATCTGTCTCTTAGCTGGCACATACCATCTTCTCCTGCCCTTGCCTATCAAAACTCCTGGTTCTCTGCCCTTCAGACTCTGAGACTTATACCAGTAGCCTTCTAGTTTCTCAGGCCTTGGGAGTTAAGAGTTGTATCATTGGCTCCTCTCACTCTGAGGCTTTTAGATTTGAACTAAACTAAGATACTGGCTTCCTTGGTATCTATTTATCCATCATCTGCTGTCTGTCTGTTCATCTATCTACCTACCTATCTATCTGTCATCTGTGATTTATCCACATATCCTATTGATTCTTTTTCTCTGAAGAATTCTGACAGTAGCCTTTTACTGACTGTAGATATTAAACCCCAGATGCCTATTATGTTCTGGGGACAACATACTTTGTTAACTACCTTTATAACTTTTTATGGTCAAGTCCCTTTGGCTACCTCTCCCCCAGCATGCAGATGGAGTTCTCCAACTTTTGCTGGTCAAGTGAAGCCATCACTCTCTCTTCTGTCAAGCCTACATCATGCCCAAGGCTGTCAACCAGCTCTGGAGCCATCTCTCCTGCCCTCCTGGCCTGAGTTTCTTGGTGATGCTGAGAGAAAGGCCCTCTCACCAATACATTCCTGATAACTTGGTGGAGAGAATGTCCCCAGGGGGTCTTCCGGCCTCACACGATGTCTCTGTACCAGCAGCCCCACTTTCCCCAGCCTTCTTATTCCTTCTTCTATTTTCTCCAGATTATCTCCAAGGCCACCCTACCCACACATTGGCCTCATCTCCCTGGGTCTTTTCCAGGTCATTACATCTCCGTTCCTGGAGAGTCTCATCAAGGGAGTGGACTCTCAGTCTGTCTTACCTTCCTGTCACCTTGACTGGGCACCTTCCATACACACTCTCAGCATGGCTCCTCTGCCTTCTGCCAATGCATGTTAGTGAATTCTCAGATCTCCCTTGGGATATAATTTCTTTCCTTCTTTATCTGACCTGCAGTATCTTTAATCAAGAGGTGCTGAATTTAATCACCCACAGGGAAGTCAGGAGGGAAAGTGGGCACAGCTCCATGGTCTGGTTGAGAAGAGACTGCTCTAGATTCTTCTACAGAGGAAATACTAGTTCTCACTTTGAAGCCATGGGCCACCAGCACAGGAGCCAAAATTCTCATCCATGCATGTACCTTCTGTCCTGTGTATCAGGGTCCCCAGCTTTCTTAATGCATCTCCCTGAGTACTTAAATATCTGGAGCTTTGCAGAATTATGGAAGGCTGAGGTGGCACTCCAGGGGGATATGTATTTTTGTTTGTTTACTGTGTCTCCTCCCCCAATTAGCATGCTAAAATATCACCTCTATAAAGCCAGAGACTTTGTTTCTTGCTCTCTGTTCCTAGTACCTGTACCTGCTTGCTACATAATGGGCACTCAACAAATATTTATTGAATAAGTGAATGAAGAATGAATGTATAGGTCTATAAGGAAACAATAAACTATAGTATATGCATCATAAGGGATTTTATACAGGCCTTAGAAACATGTATAAGAAATTTTCAATGACGAGAGAAAGCTTCTGCAATTATGTGACATGAAAGAAACCAGGAGACAATATCCATAAGCACTCCAGTCATGACCGACTGGGAAAAAAGCAAAAAGCTGCAAAGATCTTATGCACTGGTCACAGGCAAGTGCTCCACGCTAAGCTGCACCCTAAGCTCTCGAGCAGTCTTTGTATTAGCTAACTTTCATTATAGAACACAAGTCGTGGATTTTATGGATGCAGAGTTCATAGAATGCCAAGCTTTGGGTCTCAGATATCTTCATGATCCTCTTTTCAGTGTGGCCAAAGCCACTATTTTAAACCTCCAAAGCATGAACTGGTTTACAGTGGTGATTAAAGACAGTATTTTATTGGAGCAGTGGTCCTCCTGGTCGTGTGTTTGGCCCTGTCCTCAACACCTTCTGGATAACCTGAAGTCCAGCTGGCTGTTTGGCCGCTGCCTCTCCCTCCTGCATGTCTGAGCAGACCCACTCCTGCCTCTAATGCCTGTCTGTGGTGCTTCCTAACAGCACAGTGGCCAGTGGCATGAAGACTGCTATAAATGGAACCAGACAGTTCTGAGAATGAAGATTGGAGCTCAGACCTTTACAGTGTGAACTCAGAATCACAGATGTCTTCTCTTCTCTCAGCAACAGCTTATTGGAAGTGTTGATCTCAACTCTGTACTTCCAAGGAGTGCTATGAATCAGACCCATCTCCAGACCCACTATGAGTGAGGCAGGCATAGTTCAGGCCTGTGGAATTTCCAGGAAGGCAGCAAGCCACTTGTTTCTCTTGCCAGAAGTCTTGGTCTACTTCTGGCTCTTTCTCTCTTTTCCTCAGACCACAAGACTCAAATTCTTTGGAGCACAGAGGACCCTCAGAATTGTCTTCACTCTGGCTGTGTTCTGTAGCAAGTACCATGTAGTTTAACCCTTCTTGGTTCTTGGTTTCCATGAAAGCAACTGGTGTAACACCATCTGAATTCAGGCTGATCATATTGTCATTGTCACCTGTGAAAATATATGGCAATTAGGCTGGGTGAGAAAGATGGCAATATTAATGCTACACATTCAAGAGGACCAGTAAGTGCTGGGAAGACAAAAACAAACCAGACCTCTCCCTGTCCTCAGAGCTACTGCAATCTAGCAGGGACACAGATATGTTGCTAGGGAAAATGACACACACTTAAAGAAATATACAGAATACAGTGAGGCCACAACTCTGCTGTGACAGGTGGACCGGGTCATGGTCTTTGTGACAGAAACTGGGTGGCCTCCAAAAGGACTGGGTGTATCTGAGATGCCCTTTCCTCCTACCTCAGTGGCTCAAATACCCAGGTCTAGAGACATATTCCCTTATGTGCACTAGTTTCATGACTCATGAAGGTAATGTTCCTAGGACGGTAGCATATGAAACCATTAACACTAATTGGTAAGTGAATTAGAACTAGGAGGCTTCTGACCACAGAAGGGAATGGCTACAAAATGAGCAAATTTTGACAGCAGGATTGAAGGAGAAGGAAAATGATTACTACGATTTTTTTTTTTCTGTTTTGGTACCGGGGATAGAAATTGGATCCTTGTGCTTGTGAGGCAGGTGGCAGAACCACTGAGCTAAATCCCTGGCCCACTATGATTATTGTTCATGTTGTTAACACTTAGAGAGCTCTTACTGCACACCAGGTAAGTTATAAGCTATACACATGTATTAATTCATTCTCCTCCTGTGAAGTAGGCACTAGAATTGTCCCCACTTAACAGATGTGGAAAATGAGGCATAGAGGAGTTAATAATTTGGCTAAGCCCACACAGCTGCAATGCGTCTGTCCAAATGGTCATCCAGCTGTGTGAGGGAGAACACAATGAGAAGTGTCCCCTACCAAAGATCTCTGGAAACCAGTACACCTGTGTGCAAGGTGAGGCGGCTGTAGGAAAATGAACAGCAAAGGGTAATTGGCCTTTGTTGTAATTACACTCATTTTGTTTTGTTTCTGTCTATTTAAAGACTGACCTTTAACACAAAGAAGTACAAGAAGTCTGGGGAAACCTAAGAGCAGAGCTTCTGAAACATTTCACAGAATTCTAGGAGACAAGTGATAAATGGGCTATGAAGATGAGTGTGAAATGTAAATGCAGAAATTCCTTCCTTTTCACTAATGAGCTCCAATCTCTGGGTATTCCCACCTGGCCGAAAAATTTGTGATCAGAAGTATTACTGTCTTTTCATGAACTGTCATACTTTTACAACCAGGGACATTTCAGTAGATAAACAATAGTCCTTTCCTTTCTCCTCACGGCCAGCCCAGCATGCACGTGTCCCAAGCTGTGTCCCTGACCGCTGAGGCTGCTGACTGCCTTCTGCACATAGCCCTCTTGAACACAGGTTTGGAGAATGAACTTAACTGAATTATAGGGAAAAGAATAATTTGAAGGGCTACAGGAAGCATTATTGTGCTGCTTTGTTCTGACAGAATGTATTTATCTGGTTCCATACCTAAACTACCAAGTTTTATTAAATAAGCATATGAACTATGAGGTATGATCCAAAAGTACAGTGAATGTTTAATTTAAAATATTGCCTCTTTTTTGTTGTTTTGTTTTGTTTTGTTTTTTGTACCAGGGATAGGAATCTGGACCTTGCACTTTCAAGGCAGGTGGCAGCACCACTGAGCTAAATCCCTGGCCCTCATTAAAATATTGTTTACAGTGAAAGACACATTGCCACATGGCTGTTAATCCCCCTTACTTCAGACATGTTTTGCCATCATCTTTGGCAATGTGTCTTTTACTGTAAGTTTTGTTAAAATGTAGACATCCGTTGTATTTTTGATCACCTCTGACACTCCTGCTGTGTATTACAAGGTGTGCACTTCTTTAGAGATCTCCCTCTCTCACTCTCTCTCTCTATCTCTCTCTCCTAGAGAATTAGACAACCTTGTTGTGAACTCATTAGCTCTTCACCATCAGCTCATCTTCCTCTTCCCTGCTCAGAAATCATTACAGACATTTTGAATCACATGAATAGTCAGACAGCATTGTGAAACGTCTCCCCCACAGAAACAGCTTCACCACGCACTGAGTTTGGTTAGTGCCGAGGTACAGATACCTGCAGAGGGCCCACCTGTTGCGCTTATTACCAGTAGGGATTAATAGCCTTGGAGAAACTCACAGAATGACGTGCTCTGTGTGATGATAGCAATATAAAATATCAAGAAATGTTAGGAAGAAATAAGATGTTTAATTTTAAGCACTCTATCAGCCCAGATGATTGAGGAAATAAGGATAATCTTAAAGGGCTTAAAGATATTGGCTAAAGAGTTTAGAATTCTAACACAAACTTCTGTCTACTGCAAAGATGTGGTCAGCAGCTTCACTGGCATACGTTTAACCCACCACATAGCTTATTGGAAAACTCCTACCAAAACATAATTACAATTACTTTTGGCCTGTAGAATTTTTAAAAAAGAATCTCTTATATGAGACAAATTTTTGAGTTCTGCTGCCAATGTCAGGAAAAATTATCAGGTAACTACTTCATTGGTTCATAAGTAGTTCGGGCAATCTTTAGTAACTCGACTCTGGCAAGCTTTCAGCAATTCATACATCTTCTTGTTTCATGAAAAGCTTATGAGAGACCCAAGTTTTGTTTAAAATTATTTAATAGAAAGCCTACAGGGTAGACCTGAAGGCCAGTATTCAGACAAAGACAGCATGTGATCAGTAATGTCTTTACGAGGGAAATACTGAAATAAAGCCTTCCGAGTAAGACCGGGTATTTACGGATGAGACACGTGCTGGCTGCCCGGCTATGTTTGGAACAGCAAAGGGGCATTTAGATTTGTTTCCTGTAGGACTCTCTGGGACTGATGAGGTGGTGTTTACACAAATGCTTGGATGAAGTCACTGGATATTTTTGTAGATGCCCAGATAAGTTACTGATCTTCCCTCTCTACGCCTCCTTCTCCACCCATTAGGTCAGTAGGGCCATAGTGATGGGGTAGCATTACTGCTCCCTGTAATCCTAAGGTGTTTTTTTTAAGTCTTTCTGATGGCTTTCCTGTCTTCCTATATATCTCCCACAATTACAGTGAAGACAGACACTGCTGTGCCAAATGTGCTCACCAGTCTGCAAAGCAGCAAACTAAATTAAGTACACTGTCTCTAATTTAAAAAGTAATTTTAGTATTGCCCTGAAGAACTGTCCCATGATCTCTATCCTCTGCACATAAGCAAACTGTCTTTCCTTCTGTTTTTTCCCTTTCCTGCCTCTCTTTAGTCACAATTTCAATTATCAGAATTCTTAGGGATGTTCATATCTCTTTCCCTTCCTCATCTTCAGGATTTACATGCATCACAAATAACATAAGGATGGTTTCTTTTTTATATTTCTGTCATGGCCAAGTTAATAATAATGACTTAATAATTTCTGTCTAAATTATCACAGTTTTATTATAGTCCCTGTTATACTCTTCCTACATCATTTTTCTGAATATTTATGTCTGCTGCTGTGTTTTTTATAAATTTTAGTTCCTTCTGCCAACAGCCTGGCAGCTAAATAGACTAGTGTAGCCAGGACAAGATGGCTCATCTCTCCGCACACAACATCTGAAGAGATCATCCGTTGTAACCACTGGGCAGGGCAGAGTTGCCCACTGTGACTGGGGAGGGGGCGGCAGTTTCTTCATTGAGCCACAGCTGTGAAAGGGTCCAAGAGTAGAGCCAAGCCCAGACTCCACTCAGCAGTGTGATCACAAGCGAGCTGCTAACCTTGGTTTGCTCATCAGGAAAATTGTAATGACACCCACTACATAGGGCCATCGGAAGGATTTCATGAGTTAACCTATGCAGCATAGTGGTAGATTCATAAAAAGTACTAAATAAAATGTTCTAGGATTGGAAATAAAAACGTTCACAGAAAGGGATTTGTTCCATGTCCTGGGTGTGAGCATCATTCGTTGCTGTTCTCAGCCTCACGGTTGAACCGTGTGATTTTACCACAGATCTCAAAGGTCTGTGGAGACATCTGGTCAGGCCTACTGCACAGCTCGGCTCTGGGCCTATTTGACAGCTCTGTGGCTTTTGTGAAATGTGCTGAACACACGGGGAGGTAGGATACTGTGAGCAAAGAATTGAGCATAAGCACCACATCCGTCTGAAAGCTGTCTGCTTGCCCTTGTCCACTGCCTTAAGAGCCCCTCTCCTTTGAGTGTCATGAAAGTGTCCCTGTGGCAATCCCTTGATCTTTCCAGTTTCTCTTCTCCATGCCACCATCTTCTTGTTGGTCCCTCATCATCACACGCATCAAACAATACACACTTTTCAGGAACACATACCAGTAAAAGGGTCTTCCTTACAGAAGTCAGAATGGTTGCCTGGCTGAAGAAGGTAGGAAGTAGGACAGGAGCAGGAAACAGGGACAGAAGTACTAAACAAACGAAATCAGAAAGCAGCCCTGCAGAGTCTGGTGGTGATGGCCTCCTAACCGCCCCACTCTGCACCACAGGCCCACAGTGGGGTAAGTCGGGGAGAACAGACCTCAGGACAGCACTGCCTCCCACTCTAATTCTCCTCCTTACTATTTTAGATTATAAATCCAGTGGTCATAGCATTCTCCCTTTAAAAATGTAGCACATATTAGAAAATAATTTTCAAGGAAGAATACAGTAAACAGTTATGATGGCCATGACAAGAGTACAACATTCTTACTTACTCTGAAATAGCTTCTATGTGCATTCCATGTTTACACTGTTCAGTGCACACTGGGAAAAAGCTAGAACATCCTGAAGAATCAAATTTACCTTCGATGCCTTCATTTGTGGCTCCGTGGGTGTTTGCTTCACCTCTCCACGGAGAAATATTATTTACGAGAAGTTTTCTGAAGAGCTGCAGCTGGACTCGGATCCTGTGGAAAGTGGGCCGCTGGTCTGGCTCTTGCGCCCAGCACTGAGCCATTAAATTCCACCTGAACATGCAGACGAAGACACAAAAGTGAATGGTGATAACTCAGGTGAGGTCGTTTTAGAAGTGAAACGAGTTATTGCCAGTTTTGCAAAATTTATAGAAATGAGTAGAACAATGCTTTGGTTCTTATATGAGTTGCAGTATTACTCCCCTTCCTTGATAATACCTATCTTGTGAAAAGCTGGCATATCAACAGTTATTAATCTAAGTAAATAGCTAGGTGAATGGGTTGGAAATTCCTATCCCATACATCAGAAAGTTAATAGCTCTAAAAATTAGTGAAGAAACAGACTTAAAAGACTTACGTACATATACTGATCTACAACAATACCTAAGATTTGCTCCACACAGACACCTTCTGGTAGAAGCAAAAGCTAGAAAACAGAGTTGATTCCAGAGCTTTCACTCATTATCCCGTCAGGTTAAGAGCTTGGCTCCCCAACATTCACAGTTCATTGACTGAACACTGCCTTCTCCCTCAGGGCTGTCTATGAAATGTCTATGCAGCATGCTTACCCAGTACTTATCCCTCACTCAGCAGAGACTGGCAGACATTTGTCTCCCAACAGCAGCACAACGGGGCTGGGGGCACAGTGTGACTCCTATCCCCACAGTGAATGGTGACAGGTTTACTCATTCCTCTCTCCTACATGGTCTGTAACTAGCTAGCTCTTTTCCACAGTCCCTCCCTAGCAGAAGAGAATTTACTTCATTCTGTACAATGCAGCTTATAAGTTAGCCCAGTTCATACGCACTGGGGGTGGGGAGAGAAAGGAACTAATATATAATCATAAGCTGAGGTATTTAAGAATATTAGTACTACTGTATCAACAGAAAAATACCTAATTCAAGTTATATTGAGCATCTTTGTAAATGCTAAAGAGAATAACTGTGAGTTCCAATGCATGTGGAACATTTTGGTGAACTGCACATGGAGGTCCCTGTGCAGAGGTGACATTTAAGCCCAAGAGCTTTACAGGAAAGTAAGATGCCAGTCAAGGGAACGGGGTGTGGACGGGAGGCAGGGAGCACCCTGGAAGAGGGAAAAGCAAGTGTAAAGTCCTAAACTTAGAAAGGCCCTGGCACATTCTGGAATCTGAGAGAATGCCAGAAGTGCAGTCCTTGAGGGAGAAAATGAAACAGGTTCAGAACATGAAGGCAAGCGAACATGGGTCACTTGGGCCAGGAGAGGAGCAGAGTTTCTGACACTGCTGTGGGGAGCTGCTGCAGGTCTTACGTAGACGTGCTCTTTGCATTCCTAGAGGATGACTGCAGCTGATGGATGGACAATGGGCTGCGGAGGAGCCAGCTGGAAGCTATTAGGGAAGCCTAGGTGAGATGTAATTGTGGTCTGGACTAAAGTAACTGCAACAGAGATGGACCAAGATGTATGCAAGCAGCAGGTGACAATGACACAGAATTCATTGTAAGTACTGAATTCAAAATATCTGACATGTGTTTCAGGAGTTACAATGCAATCTCCAGTCCCCTATGTGGGATCACACCCTACTTGCATTTATTTCATTCTTTGACAAGCACCTCAGGTCAGAGGTGGTACTGCACATCAGGGTTAAGACAAGGAAACTGATGGCTTTTCATGTGTGTCACAAGGAACATACAGTGTGATCACAGAATGCCAAACTCGGCTCTGTCTTTAAAACAGTCAAGTAACAGCTGAGAAATAACAAAAGAACAACCTAACCTATTACAAATTTCCCAATAACCTGTGCTCTTTAGAAACAAGGACAAGGTAAAGATTAAAGAAAGGGCATTATACTTTGAGATAAGATATTATACCTGATATCACATCATGAAATTTAAGCCAACAGTTAAACTTGAATCTTGATGATGAAAGGTTGTCTTAAGAAGTAAGAGGATGGGGTAAACAATTGTAATTCCCTGCAGGCAATTTTGAGAATAAAGCTGATTCGGAGATATTGCTAAGATATAGACAAAAGTTTCCCATGACATATTTCAATCATTAAGTTTTAATTGTTTATAATAACCTGCTTAATTCTACAAACGATTTGATATATTTAATAGAATTCTTTAGAAGGAAAGAAGGAGAGAGAGAGAAAGAAAGAAAGAAAGGAAAGAAAGAAAAAGAAGGAAAGGAAGGAAAGAAAAAAGAGAGAGAAAAAGAAAGAGAGAGAGGAGGGAGCAGGAGGGTAGGGACAGAAGTTGTCCTCAGGTCTACACAGCCATCTGCTCTCTACCTCACAACTCAGCCTGTTTTCTTATCTATGGAATTTGTACATGGTAACCTGTGCTGTCAATAAACTGCTCGTGGAAAAATTAAAATGCCTTTAAAATTTTGATAATCTTTTTTAAAATGCTCATTATACTTGAAGTACTCATTCAGCTAGGTATTCAGCTCAGATTCCTCCACTCATACGTGCATGCTTTGCTCCTCTTTGCCTCAATTTTTTTCCTCCACAACAGCAAAGGGCTCACTAGATGTGTTCAGTATGATGCTAACGAAGCCCATAACCCACAGATTCCACTAGTTCCTTGACCAGTCCCATCCAATCCTGGAGACCATTTGGCATCTGGTGCAAACATCTTCAGGAGTGAGAAGACCATGGGCGTCAGACATCTGAGCAATGACCCACTAGCTGCAGTCGCCCCTGCGCTGTGTCTGTCACAGGACCCAAGCACATGCCCTGTGACATCAACTGCCCTCTGATCCTCTGCTTCTCAGGAGCTTGCTGTGCAAGTGGAAGTCTACGGAGATGCTCGGGCAGGCTTCCCTCCGTACGTACATACACCTGAGCCTAGGGAGGGAGGCAGGAATGCTCTGAACTTTCATTCCACAAACATCTGAAAACAGCACAGCATCCAGGCTCCTGACCCAGGGAGCATTCAGGTGCTGAGTGTTTAAGCAGTAAACAGAAGGGTGGCCGGCTCAGTGCGGCCTTTCAGCCCCTAAGCCGGGCCTGTGATCTCAGAACTGCTTCAGATGGAGATCAGCTCCCTCTGTCCTCCAAGGAGAGTAGTTAATCTTCGCCATGACAACTTAAGGCCTGGCCAGATGGAATGGTGTGGCTGAGAGCTCCCCTTGCCAGCACAGCTTGTTCTCCTTGCTGGGTTGCTACCTTAACCCTTCCTGCACTCTGAGGGTCCTGCAGCTGTGCAGAGCTGGGAACGCAGCTCACTGTTGTGCAGTGATGTTCAAGTGAACCTCCAGCCAGCAATGGAATATTCTGATCTCAAGGAAACTATATTTCTATAAAAATGAAGGCAATAATATACTCGGTTGATGAATTAGTCAAGACAAAACTAGACAGAACGTTCTTTCTCCACTCCTCATCAGGAATACTCTCCTGGCACTCCTTCCTCCTCCTAGCTGGAGTTTTGGATACCTTTGGGTACAACAAATTTCAGCATATCTACATTTTTCTGCTCCACAATACAGCAATTTATTATTTACCCTCATCCTCCTCAATTAAAATAATTAAACACTATCCATCAAAATGGATTATTCATTAATCTCCTCCTTAAGTGCTTGTCCAAAAACATTGCATGATTATGACGAGGCATGTCAGCCCCTCCAGGCAAGGGGAATAAACCATATAAAATTGGGAAAACATACAGAAAAACTTTCATAGTTAGAATTCTGAGAGAATTTGCTGGGCTTCTGACAGAAATGTAGAGGATGCAAAATAGTGGTTAGGCTGCTATTTAGTTAAAATTTATTTCATATTTAGGTATGCTAGGTTTTTTTCCCCTCGAGCCCTAGTGGAAGAATTCAAAATTCATGTAATTCTTATTTCTAATTTATAGATTTCCCCTTTCTTCCCCTAAAAGGCTCATGAATTATTTTGTAGACAATGTTACCAAACTTGGTCAGGATATACATATTTGATTTCTCTGAAAATATCCTGGAGCTATAAAAGTTAAATCAGAAACAAGTAGTAGTTTGTATCTTTTTCTAGCTTGCAGATTCAAATAATACAGAAGCATTCACCCGTAGAACATCCAACCACAGTGCCCAGCTCTTAATCACCTTTTGGCTCCCATCTGAGTAATCCTCTAAATAACACAACACAGTCAAGGCAGTGCAGCCATGGTGTGCATCCGCATACTGCTAATTCCTTCTGCACTTGTCCACACCGCACAGTTTAGCACTTTATTACATGCTGGCTGGCCACCCACACTCCGTGTGAATCTTTTCATTCAAAACACATCCCACTGCAGCGCTGGTATGCATACTGCTAATTCCTTCTGCACTTGTCCACACCGCACAGTTTAGCACTTTATTACATGCTGGTGGCCACCCACACTCCGTGTGAATCTTTTCATTCAAAACACATCCCACTGCAGCGCTGGTGTAAAGACCTCTGCGCCCGACAGTCCTCGGTGTGGCCTTGTGTGTGTAACAGAACTCGTACTTATCGGCTACGTAAAAGCACCTCTTGGGAAAGATTTCACAACTTGGGACTTTTGCTGAGGTGGCAGCACAGACAGATTGGTACCCAGCCGTAAGTACCTGGCGATTTTTTTCTTTTATAATTGATCTGAAACCACTCACTGTTCCTTGAATTCAAATAGCGGCCAAGATCAGTTTGACAGAGTGACTAGCAGTCATTCTGTGCTAACTTTACAGACAGATCACAATCTGTATAATATTCAGTAACACAGTATCCCATGGATCAATGTCAGCTGTATCGATGAAAGCAATCCAACTTTTAAACAGCATATTCCCATTCACCAGAATCTTTTAAAATGTAAATTGTTATCGAAATAAAATTTCCCCAAATAAAATGAGTATGTGTATCCACACACCCACACACACAGTGCTTATATTTATTAGAATTCATTTACCAGGAGGATAAATATATTCTACGCTTCCAAATGTTGTTTCTGAATGAGATAACATGTACACATGTAAATAAAAATAAGCCATGTTGTATTTAGTAGATTAAGTGCAATAATCAACTTACATTTTATGGCGATATATAAATATGTAAATTCCATTTTTTAGTCTAGTATATCACACCAATAAAGCCTGCATTTGCATGCACACATGCTTTTGTTTTCTCGGGTGCTTGTGCTAAAATAACAACTTACAGATCGTCAGGACAGTTTCTTGGTGGTGCCAGTCTCCCTCCTGCTTGTACATAGTTTAAAACATCAAGGTTAGAGTGCGCTGGATATGGCTGATGACCAAGAGTTAAAATCTCCCAAATCAGAATCCCAAAAGACCTAGAACATTAAAAGGTTGTGTGTAATTATACTTATTACAAACATCAGTTTAAAGTAGCTTCTCCAATATCATTGTTACTGGGGATCTGAGGTCTACTTTACAACTGGCATTACAGGTCTTATAAAAGGCCAACAGGAGACATGAACTCAGGCTGTTCTTGTTTTAAAAAGTAGAAAACAACACTGCACAAGAGCAACCACTCAAAGGTAATTGGAAAGTTTGATGGGAGTTCACATATACACACACACACATTCACACACTGGCACAAGCACACACAGATGAACACGCATGCACACACATAGGCACAGACACACTTATGTGTGGACATGCACTCACATTCTGGTCCTCCCCAACCACCCACCACAGCCCTCATCATCGCAGGCTTTCAGAGCACAGATGTGCAGACACCTAGGGTCTGAGTGAGGGAGCAGGTCACCCTGCTTGCGGGGGACAGGACAATGGTGAATGCACAGAAAATGCTAGTAGCACAGAGGACCAACTGTATCTCACACACAATTTTGCCAAGACCAGCCCAGCTTAAAAGTCATTCAACAAATCTACGTTTTAAACAGCTCTGACAAAAAGTGGGAGATCAACAAGCAAAAGTGAGTGGTCTTATTCAAATAATAAAGACATAGCCAAACTTCTCCAAATGTCCTACCCTTTGCAATCAATAGTTTGAAGTGCATCTCTAAGATAAAGACTAAACATCCAAAAATAAGGAGCATTCAGGCACACATGAACAGGAATTCATAGCACCAATTTCTATTCATCATAAGCCTGTACACCTTTGAAGTATAATAAGATGATTGCAGTGGGTGTGTCTCTTTCATATTTAGATGTGTAACAGAGGATCAAAACTGATTCGTGAGGGTTATAAATTGCTGACACACAGGAATACTTAACCACCAGCTGAGGCAAATCACTTAACCTCTGTGGTTTTCTGTTATCTCATATTAAAAATGAAAACAACAATATTAAATGTCCTTTTAAGATCCTTTCTGGCTCTGATGACTGCCAGTTCTGCATCTCTCTGCATCCTGTAGAGCTCACCAAACATCAGACTGAGTCGTGAAGAGTCCATCCATCAGACTTTCTGGAGCCATCCAGCGAACAGGCAGCAAGCCCTCCCCTCTCTTCCTGTAATAATCATGTTTATAGATGTCCCTTGCAAGTCCAAAGTCCCCAATCTTCACTGTCCGTGAAGGGCTGGTGTAGTCTTTCACAGAGACAAGGCAATTCCGAGCTGCCAGATCCCTAGGGCAGAAGTTACACTGAATAATGATAAAACAATTCCAGAGATTGAACAGGAACATTAGTAAGTCTCTTAGAAAGACAGACTTTTTACAAAAATTTGCCGTTTTGAAGGAGTGAAAATATCTAATTGTCCCAAACTACAGATGATTACTGTGTCAATATCTGTAATAATCTTGTATCCATAACATGACCATACCTGTGGATAAAATGCATCTGTTCCAAGTAGACACAGCCTTTTGAAATATCCACACAAACATCGACAAGGTCAGCCAAGGTTAGTAAAGTGCCATGGAACTATAAGAAATAAAGGGAAAATGACAAGCACTTTCACAGTTCATACTCTGCCTGTACATATATGTGCACACAAGCACTTGCGCATGATCTTCCAAAGCAGTGGCGGCAAACCTACGGCATGCGAGCTGCAATGGGCACACACAGTCCTTTCCGCCAGCATGGGACCAAGGCACCCTGCATAGCCCCGGCCACTGAGCCCTGGATAGCAGCACACACAGGGAGCCATGTGCATGCTCTGGAAGGAGGCACCAGGAGATGAGGTCACAGCAGTTTGGGCACTCGGTCTCCAAAAGGTTCTAAAGGCATTTTTAATCGTCATTAAAAGAATAAGACAAGAGGAAAATAATTTATACTCTATCTGTGCAAATATACAAAAATGACAGACTTTTATATTAAGTAGAAGTGATGTGCAATCTTTACTGGAAAGATCTCAGGGTGTGAGGTCAGACAGACCAAAATTTGAAACTTAGTTCTGCTACTAACTAGTTGATGAACTTGCTTGAGTTTCTTAATTAACTAAGCACTTTCCCGTATGTAAAATGGGCATAGTATTACAGACCTTGCAAGATTCAAAATAATATCCACAAATTAATGCACAGCTTCGTGCATAGTGGCCACTGGTAATAGCAGTTACTCCATTATGCTAGCTACTTTCATGATTGGCCTAATGGCCCTGTAGCCTGTGACTCAGGACAGTGGAACTAGCTCCCCTATGAGCCCTGCATCAGTTGTTAGCAGCATCCTACTTCAAGGTCAGATTATGCCTCTTTTCTAAAGACCAAGCACAAGTAGGTATTTGAGCCTATACTGATTGTAATGATTTCTAGGTGGAAAAAAAAAAAAACCCAGCTGAAATTTCCATTTGCAGCATAGAGGAAAACTCTAAAGCTCTTGCCAGGAGGCCATGGCCATGCACCATCTGCCCCCTCTGTCTTCCTGCGGTCGGCCTGGCTGAGCTCCTGTGTGCTGCATCCCTAACCCTGTGCCTCCAGCCACTGAGCCTCTATTACCTTGCACACCGCAGCTGTGCCTGTAGAGTCCAGGAACCCTCGCTGCATGGCCTCCGACTGTCGTTTCTCGTGACTTCTCACCACCTGTGCTCCAGTCATTGAGATGGTCTTGATATGTAGTTTAAGCTAACCTGGAACTCACTGTGTAGCCCAGGCTAGCCTGGAACTCTCCGCAAACCTCCTGCCTCAGCCTCCCGAGTGCTGAGATTACAGGTGTGTGCCACCACACCCAGCCAGTTTCTTTATTCTTGATATTCATCCACAGTCTTCACTGTGCTCAAGTGATTCCCAAGCTCCAAATAGATGGTCTTGATATGTAGTTTAAGCTAACCTGGAACTCACTGTGTAGCCCAGGCTAGCCTGGAACTCTCCGCAAACCTCCTGCCTCAGCCTCCCGAGTGCTGAGATTACAGGTGTGTGCCACCACACCCAGCCAGTTTCTTTATTCTTGATATTCATCCACAGTCTTCACTGTGCTCAAGTGATTCCCAAGCTCCAAATCCCTTTCCTCATACAAGGCTCTCTTGTGCATTCTGTCCCTGCCTTTTCTGACAAGCTCACATCTTTCTCTAAAGCTGGGGGAGATCCTGATGTTCTGGCTTTCAACATTTTCAGGTGCAGCTGCACACAGGGCTGATACCCAGGTCTTAGCCAATGCCTGAGAAGCCACCCCTCTCCCTCCAGCCTGGCTCAGGTGCCCTGGACGCCTGTCTCTGACTCACCCTGACATTTTGATTCATATGTGAATGAAACCTTGCTTCAACTCTGACAAGACCTATTCTTGACTCTTGACTCCAGATGCTGTCCTCCTGTCTCTGGCCAAGCCCTCCAGACATATGAGACTTCACCTGGGGCCCATGCGCAGCCAAAGCCTTCAAACTCAGTAGGAAGGTGTTGCTCAATTGCTGCTACATCTCCTCCTACACCTTCCATGCTCTCAATTGGAAATCGACTCTCCTCTGTCCATGTGTTAGCAGTGCATTTGCTCCCTCACTCTCATGGACCCTTTCAGTTTCTACCTTATTTATATACATCTTCCAACCTTACCATGAGGTAAGAGCCACACCCTTCACTGTCCTAAATAAACACAAACAAATGTTGTGAATTGAATTATAGCTGAAAGGCAACACATTTATTGCTGTATACTTTATTTGTATTATTTTGAGATCCTTTGTTTTTCTTTTTTCTATCTTCATACAATCTTAGAACATAAATATAAAAAGAGTTTTAGGAAGCTTTTGGGTTTAGTGTCCCAACACTAGATGAAGAAACTGAGCTCCCAAAAGTGAAGGGCTACTTTAAGGTTTCTAGAGTCAACACATAAAATTAAGAGCTTTGTTTTGGCTAAAACAAGCCTGAGCTGCTAGTGAAATCCAAGCAGATCTGTCAATTAGACAGCCGGCCTAGGTAGATGTGGGTCAGTGGAGCTGACCCAAAAGTCTAGAGGTTAGCAATGACTTTAGGATCGGAAATACAATCAGGACAGCACAGCAAATAGATGAAACATAATGTTGTTCCTTCCCCACTCAACAAAATCCTTCTTCTCCAGAAAAAAGAACAAACATGATTCTAGCCATGAAGAACAATTTTCTCATTAAATGCTAAGAACGGGCTCATATATTCACCCAGAGTTCTAATCATGCTAATCTACATGTAGGGAATAGGACATTTTTTTTCCAACAGAACTCTTCTAAGTTTCCGCCACAGCCTATTGAATGTAAAGAAAATTAGTAGGGAACTACAGGACATTTGCCTTAGGAAACCGATCTTGGCCCCCACAGCCTACCATGGTCATCCGGGCTTTACGTAAATACGTGAGAAGGTCCCCCCCTTCCATCAGCTCCAGGATGAGGTACTGAGGCTCATTGAACAGACAGACACCGAGCTGCTTCAGAATGTTGGGGTGATCAAACTTGCTGAAAGGCAGAAAGACACACTGGGTGACTGCACAGTGACAGGAGTCCCCACTGAGGGTCTTTATAGAATAGAACAATGCTTTTGTAGCTTCCTTCTTTAAAGCCCTAACTGACTTCAGGAAGGGCAGCTTTCCCTTCTGAGTGCTGCTCCACCTGATTGCCTCGGGAAAGTGACACGGAAGCCCCTAGTGGCCAATGCATGTGACAGAGTAGGGCAGTCTAGAAGAAATGACATCTACATTGAGTATAGTTTATGTTTTGGCAGGAAAGCAATTTTAACCAATATTTGTCTTCAAAGGGCATCTATCTGAAGACATTATATTTTGGTCACCACAAGTATGAAATATGTTCTCTTTCCCTTTTACAGAAATAACTCAGACCAGTAGGTTCTGGCTACAGTGCTTTCTCATAACATCAAAATGAACAAGCCCCAGCCAGTGACTGGAGCCTAGGGCTGGACCCTAGGAGCCTTGGCCTGGGGTCTGCTCATCAGTGATTACTTTTCATCACCACAAATTGACTGAAACCTTGGGGTTTGGTTTCTGGACAGCAGATGAGATCACTAGGTGAAGCATTGTGCTGGGTTTGCTTGACGCCTTATCACACATCTGAGAAGAGCATAAGCACTTTTAAACCTGAGCAACTTCTGAATTCACTTGCAGAACACTTTCCTTCCTGCAGGTAAAAGAAAGGTAACCTTTCACCTGTGGATGGTCTATGCCAGGCTCAGAAGACTGGCCTCTATAGAATATTTGTTACTGGGAAACTTTCCTTTTAAATTTTTAAGCCATGTTCAATTTGAGCCAGATCTTTATGTCTTCCTTGATGTCAACAGTCCAACACCCAAACATGAAAGCTTCCTGCCAGATAAAGTATCTCAAAGCTACTCTGGTACCTCATGAGATGTGCCTCCTTGAGGAATTCAATCTTCTCCTGGTCTGTGGAACCCTTCTTCAAAGTCTGCAACACAAAGACAAGTCAAGAAGCTGGTGTAGTGGTACACACACTCTGGGTTGCTGAGGCAGGAGAATCCCAAGTTCAAGCCCTGCCAGGGAAACTTAACAATTTAGCGAGACCTTGTCTTAAAATAAAAAATAAAAATAGTGCTGAGGACATAGCTCAGTGTGAAGGCCCTGGGTTTAATCCCAAGTACCACACAAGCGCGCACGCGCATGCGCGCACGCGCACACACACACACACACACACACACACACACAGGTATCAAGAAAGCAGATATCTCTGGGAGCTCAATGTATTAGTTGACACCTTTCCCCCCAGTATTCACCCTGAGAGATGGAAACAGATACAACATGCAAATATACTCTATCAAGCTCCTGTTATTGCCACTACTCATGAAGCAAAATCTGCTAGATAAAAGACCTACTAATATTTATATAAAGTATCTTCAAAATACACAAATTTTAGAAAGATCAATTTTGGCATTGAACAGGTCAGTATTTTACTCTTTAGATCTTTCTACTGAGTATCTATTTCCTTGGTGCTCTTGTTAACAATGCCCTAGTTTATTTCCTGGAGGCCTGGTGCTCCAGTGTTGGTAACAGACCTAAATTAGTTATGAAAATTTGTTCTGAAATTCTCCTACCTCCTTGGTTCTAGCCAATGCCATGTAAGAGAAAAACTGCTGAGGAAGAGAGAGGTCTGTGAATGGAATGAAGATGTGAAGCCCAGCTCTTTGGCAGCCATCTTTGCAGTATGAGTCAATAAGCATCAACAAAAGTCAAGAGAATTTCATAGGTACTAGGTCTGACCTCACATACAGTTGTACCAAGGTCAGTATTGATCCTATTCTATGATAAATAAATAAATAAATATTTGTTCAAATCAGCTGGAGGCTGGAGTAAATTAAAGGACTTTTGAAAGGTATCATTAGGAAGTGGAAGGAATGTTGCCAACTGTTCTAGTTGTATAGTCTACTCTCAAAGCAATATGTCCCCATTAAGCAGTGACTAGGATATCACTCAATTACACAAAAAGTTTATTATCCCACTATCAAAAGAACATGTTACAAAAATGCAAGAGCATAGCCAATACTTTCTTAAAAACACATTAGACAGACTGTACAGCAGTCAGCAAGCCTGGGGCCAAACTTGCAGGTCATGTGTTTCTAGACAGCTTGTGATCGCACACTAGTTCTGACTTTTTTAAACGGCTGAAAAATGTCGAAAGAAGAATACTATTTAATTACATATGGAAATTATAGGCAATTCACATTTTGATGTCCATAAAGAAAGCTTTACTGGAAGGAAGCCACACTCGTTTCTTTACATATTGACAACGGCTGCTCTGGAGCCACAGTGGCACACTAGAGTGGCTGAGGGGCTGTGACAGAGAAGATGCAGCAAACCCAAACACTTACTGCCTTCTCTTTTGAGGAAATACTTGTTGGGCCTTGGTCTGGTTTCTTGAGAACGCATTTTACAACTCTTACATTATATTTGATGGAGGATAACTCTTTGCTGGTAAAATAAACCTTGGTGATTTCCTGTTGATTACACAACCAATGTAGAAAATGGGGGAAACTGTGATTTCAGATAGACATCTACACTCTATCAATCAGTCTTCTTTAAAATTAGGTTTAATTTTAATTGGCATAATACTTGTACACAATTATAATGTACAATGTGGTGTTTTGATTCACATATACATTGGGTAATGATCAAAAAAGAGACCAGCATATCCTCACTTTAAATGTTATCATTTCCTTATTAGTGAGCACACCCCAAATCCTCACTTCTAGCTGTCATGAGCAATGTAACGCACTGCTGTTACTTAGTTCACCCCACTGCCCATCCTCCCTTTAACTAAGACAGCTGATGACTGTGCTTGAGGAGTTGAGAGATCTTTACCTTCACTGCTACTTTGATTTCTCCACTTCCAACTCCTAAGATGTCCATGGCCATCCCTTCATACACTTCCCCAAAGGCTCCACTGCCCAACAAGATACGCAGAGTCAACCTCTCCCGAGGGAAGGCAGGAAGCTTTTCAATCTCCTCTTGGGTTGGAAGAGTACTGTAAAATAACAATGTGGGGCCAGGGATTTGGCTCAGTTGTTGCATCGCCTGCCCTCTAGAGCAAGAGCCCAAGTTCAATCCCCGGTACCAAACCAAACAAAATAAAACGATGTGTTTGTTCTCCCAAAATACATATGGCTGACAAGTCTGTCTTGCTTTTGAGAGAGAAATCAGCACTGTTCACTCCACATGACAGGGTAAAGTGGGATGTTGTGTTCCTGTTTCACTTCTCTATCCCACCACCTTCACACTGAACATATCACTTCACTCCCCAGCATCTTTGTGGCACAGAAATATGTGTGTGTGTGCATGTGCACGTGTGTGTGTGTGTGTGTGTGTGTGTGTGTGTGTGTGTCTGGAGACTGCCATCACAGCTAGCTCTGTCAAAGTTAGGAGTTAGTAACTTCTTCAGATTACAAATTTGTGTAAACAGCTCATTCGAATTAGCCATAGATGCATCTGGACTTATGAGCTTTTGTTTGTTTCACACACCTGACTGCCCACATAAAACAATTTACTATGACCACAAAAACTGTCTCAATCAGGTTGACTTTTAGAAAGCCAGGCTACTCACTTGGAATATTATGAGGCAAAGAAGCCTCTACATTTCAAAAAAAGCTTTAAGTTTTTAAATAGAGAATCTAGAATATCAGACATGATGAGTATTTTTCCAAAGAAGAGTCACCTTTGAATAGTTGATTTGAGTCACTTCTGTTTCTACTTCAAATCTTTCGTTTGCATGTCTTGGAGTATGCATTTCTGGAAGCCAGGCCTATGATTATATAATTCTTTTTTGCAATGAACTATAACATGGTGTCTTGTGCAAAGTACATTTAAATACTTAATTTTGACAACAGGATTTTAAAACTCACTGATCTTAAAGAAATTGTATAGGCAATCACCATACAATGTCTGAAATAGAATAAAACTGGCATAATAGGACCCTTAAAATTTACTCTTTTCTCAAACATTATCACTAGCGAACCAGCAATGCTACCATCTACTCTCTTCAGGGCAATATCTGTCTTATATTTTTGAACTACATGATAAACCACTGAAAACCGACTAATGTTCCTGTGTGTCTCTCACAGGATAACCACATAACCTGCTATTCTTCCTAGGTTACATTTGAGAGCAGAAGAAAAGGTGATTATAATTATGCCAGCATAGGGGCTGCACGGGCCCTCTTCCTGTCACCTGCTCTTTGCCCACATGCTCTGTAAAGGGACCAGGCCACGTACTGTACTGCATAGCAAGCATTAGCCAGCCCAACTCCAGCCGCTGGGCCTCGCAGCTCCTCCAACTCTTGGTCTTCGTGCATTGGAACTGTGAGCCCTTCCTTAGAAGTTTTCAGATTTTTCAATCCCTTATGCCAGACTATAAAGAAAAAAGACAAGTTAGGCCATAAAATACTGCTTTTTGTTTCTTTAGGAAATGTTAATGCATTTTAAATGCTTATACATAAGAACACTATTGGTAGAATAACAGGACTTGATGGAAAAAATATGCCTATAATGGAAAAACTAAATCCAGGTAAAATGCCACAGAATGCCATACAATTTATACACATCCCTTTTCACCTCACTTCTTACAGTAACATTTACTATATTTCTTTCTACTAATTGCTAATGAATCGAAATATCTAATTATTAGAACTTATTTCTTTTAATTACATAAACTAAAGCCCAAACAAACCAAAACAACTTGTATAATTATTGTTAGTGAAATAAATTCACTGCTGAGTCCAAACATTTCCTTATGTAATGCTTTCAATATAAAAGTACATTTAAAATACTTTCAATCAGTCTGGGGATTTAGCTCAGTGGTGACACTGCCTGCTTCAAAAGCACAAGGCCCCGTGTTCAATCCCCCGTACCAAAAAGAAAAAAGAAGCTTTCAATATAACAGCACAGAGCATAACAGCGTGTTTCTGTTGCTGTTCTACTCCAACAAAGCACTCAGATACGTAGAACAATATTGGAATGTAGCCCGTGGAAGGTCAGCAGTGGTCCTCTCAGCTGTGGAATCACCCGTGATTCGTACTGTCTCTTTCATACCATAAGCACGTATTATTTTATAATGATGACAGTGTTATGTTTTTAAGATTAAAATACAATATGTCAATAAGATCATTTATCTAAACTAGAATATTGGCTCAGAAGCCAAAAACAGCAAAGATGTTTCGGGAGACTTTATTCCCCATTTTTGCGAGTTCTGCTCCAGTGCAGTTCTGGCTGAGGGACCGTGAGGGAACGGCTGGCTGCAAGCCCTTCCCCAACGCAATTTCAACCCGGAAATGCTCTCACTGCCTCTCCACATTACAAGGCCGGGCAATGCCATCTGATAGCTCTACAGACACTGCAGGCCTCTCCTCTGTGAGCCGGAAGCACCACTCGTGAGGCAGTGAGCCCTCCTACCTCGATGTCTTGTCCAACTCCTGTGATTCACTACCTTCTTGCTAGTAATCTTTTCACACAGACATGTCTCACCTCCCCACTGCTGGGGCAAGCTCCTGAATTCAGCAATCACATGCTATGGCTGTTTATTTCCCTAATGTTACATATTAGGGAGAACTGTTCACCCACACAAAGGCTGTCGATGTTTATTTTTAAACCTGTAACAATTTTATATTTATAAGTATGACTGATGCAAGCTCTCACAACAATACGAATTTTAAAAGAATTGCTACTTCTCATCGGTTTGATAACTTAGCCTTTTCTCATGCATTTGCACACTCCTATAAAACCACATGCACGGATATAAAAGCAGAATCTGAATTAGCTTAGCTACCCTCAAAAATCCATGAGTGCCAGGGTAAAGGCCGTGAAGTTCTGAGAAAGCCAGATTTCCATACAAGGTCTTGAGAGCCCACGATAGGTGCCTGAAATTATCTCGTTCACCCACCAGAATCATGGGTTTAGACAATGGTGATGTACAACAGGAGGCAAAGGTCGGATGAAGGGTTCTTCGTGCCCCACTCCTTCCCCAAAGGATAGCAGACAGCAGTCACGGCTGTACACCAACTGCCAAATATACTGCACTCCTGTGTGTAGCTCTGGCGGGCTGGCTGAGTGGCACAAACACCAGCTGTGCGAGGCTTAGACAAGCTGGAACCGCAGGTTCCAATCCTGGCAGGCCAGACGAAATGTTCAGCGTTCCCAGCTAGCTGAAGGAGTCCCACTTACTGTCTGAGCCAAATCTGTGAAACGAAACCTCAAATCCAGTTCAGCGTCTCTCCCATTCCTCACCACTCTAACTGCTTTGGAGAAAGAATGTTTAGAATAGTGGGTGAAGCACTGGCTTTCTTTATCCTGGGAGAATTCAACTGCTATGTTTGTAACTTTCCCCTTGCAACTTTCTCTCAATTATAAGTAAAAGAATCCACATCTTTCTGAATATCTGCTGGGGTGCACTTTCCGGTACCATGCATTTCTTATAATCTTTCAGCATGTTGGGAACTTTAATATCAACAACAGATAAAGAAGTCTTATATCTTATGACTCAAACCAAGACATTTTGGGAACCGAAAGAAAGTGCTATTAATATTCGGGGAACACCAGGAATACACTGCGATGTACGGTCACTATCTTCACCCTGTATACCTAACACCTTTGGGGGTTGTCACTATATTTTCTCATCATTAAACTCAGTCTTTAGAAAAGAGGGGGTAATTTTTAGGGATAGCACATTAGCATAAAATTAGTTATGGGAAGTAACTAACTTTCCACCTAAGCAAACTAATTGTTCTGCATATCTGGTCATTTGTAAAGGATCAGGGAATTGAAATAAACAAGCGGACATCTGAAAGCAAGAGTGAATTCTGCGAGCCAGAAATGAATCTTGTGTGAAGAGGCCCTGCTCATTGCAGAGCAGGCCGTCTGCCTGGAAACCGGAGCTCTCCCCACCAACGGTGGCAACTGGCGTCCCACTCATCGTACGTTTATTTCGTACCCAGAGTCATTTTTCTTTTATTTATTTCAACCTATAGGTCCTAAACACTTGCTATAGCCAACCAGAAACAAATACATGTTTAAAGAAAGCTAAAATACTGTACCCCTGTGAAAGGTTTACCTGAAGAATGCCATGAAATGTATATATAGCCACATTTTTCATGAAATGGTTACTTCCTGTTATGGTTTGGATCCAGGCTGTCCCCCAAAGGTCCCCATGTTAAGGATCAGCTCTCAGCTTGATGCTAATGGAGTGTGGTGGGGCACTAAGAGGGGCCCCTGGGGAGGGAGTGGGGAACTCAGTCCCATCCTCGTTCTTCTCTTTGCTCTGAGGCACGGTGAGGCCTCTGCCCTCCGCCCACAGCCCTGCTGTGCTATGCTACCCAGGCCAGTGGGCCATTACTGGAACCTCCCACACCAGGAACCAAGGCAAACCTTCATAGCAACAGACAACGTTACCCCTTGATTTAAAGAAGTACACAGAAGTTAGTGGTTATAAAAGAAGAGGCAAGGGGAGCACTGAATTTTATGAACTTATTTAGTCAAGTCATGTTCTGTGTAGGACATTAGAGACACTAAGATATAAATCAGGCAGTATGGTCTAGTAAATAGATTAGTACCTATTTAAAAAATCTATGATACTTACCAAAGGCAAAAGGGATTATAATGACCAGAAATACTCCAATAATGGTGGTAAGTATAAAACTTGTTTCAGGTATCCACAAATCATCTGATGACACAAATGAGAGAAAGATATGAATTCACAGAATAAAGCTAAAAGGACCCAGTTCCACATCAGCACACACAGAATGGTCAGCCACAGCTAGCTCCTACTATATTTTTGTAAGCCATCTGCAAAATTTTTAAATCAGCCATGGTTAAATTACATGCATCCTAAGAAATAAAAGTTTTTTTCCTTTTTTCCCCAAAGAATCATTTTACCAATGCCCATTGGAATATACAATCTTCTATTTTAAAGTGACTAGGGAAACCTGTATATTATTTAGTGAATTTGGGGGCAACAGTGTCTCAATCTTCATATACTGTATAGTTGACATTACTATTTTCTTATAATACCTTTATACACATGTATTCCACAGATACTAAACCTGAAAGCTAAACAGAAAACACAGAACCTTCTCAGGTTGTTTCAGTCACAGAGAGAAGACAAATGTGGAAAACAGTTTTGTAAACTGCAGTCTATTGGTCAAATCTGGCTGCAGCCCAAGTTAGTGCCTCCAATGGGTTAAAAAATTTTTTTTCACTTCTAAACTATTATTTAAAAAACAGAGCCGGGGCTAGTGATGCACTCCTATAACGTGAGCTACTCAGAAGGCTGAAGCAGGAACATCACAATTTAGAGGCAAGGCTGGGCTACTTATTAAGACCCTGTCTTAAAAATAAATAAAAAGTCTGGGGATGTAGCTAAGTGGTAAGGTGCTTGCTTAGCATACACAGGCCCTGAGGTCATTCTCTAGAACTGTAAAAATAAGGAGACAAACATAAAAGACAAGAAAAATATGCCACAGAGAGCAAGTAGAGCTTGCAAAGTCTAAAAAATATTCACTATTTGGTTATTTTCAAGCTCTTCTGTACATAACAAATTATAATGCAGACAAGAGTGATGGAAGCTCTTTATCAGTGATGGCTGACCTTTTAGAGATCAGTGCCCAAACTACAATCCAAAACCCACTTATTTATTGCAAAGTGCCAATGCTGCAATTAAACCTGAATACTGATGTTTTAGTTTAGAAAAAACAACTCATACCTTAATAGTCTTTGTCTTAAAAGAAAAGCAATATGAGTGCTGTAGGTTTGCTACCACTGTTCTATAGGAATTGTGTGTATAAAATGCAACAATTAATTTTTCCTAATGAGTATCAGTTTCACAGAACAATGAATTCATTTAAGTTAGGTCTGTGAGAATGGGAAGAGTTTGAGGTGGCAGAAGTGAAGGAAAGGAAATCTTAGGAAATGGTAGGTGGTAGGGGCCCACCTTCTAGGCTGGAGGAAACACCCGCCAAAGACCTAGGGATGTAAAGATTTCTACAGCTACAATGACTGTAGCACAAGGATAAATGCAGGGAAGATGAGCTATAATTGGAGGGTGGTCATGGAACACTTTGTGGGCCACACAGAAGTTATAGTCGATTTTGAAGGCAGCGAATGAAAAACAATTTGAATCTTTCAAAGATGGATCAAGTGCCCCCCCTCGTTGTGTCTCAGCTAGATCACAGTCACCAATGTGCTTCAGCCTAAGACACAGGCAAGAAATGACACTGCTAATGAGGAAAGCCAATGCGGAAATAGGAAGGTGGGACTCCTCAGAGAGATACTGGAATGGTAAAATTAATAGAACCTGGTGACTGAATGGAGAAAAATTAAATATGGCACTGAGCTCTCCTGGCTGTATGATTGAAGAGATACTATATCATAACCCCTAAGAGGGTACAGAGTAGAAGAGGCAGAAATCGGGGAAGAGACAAAGGTGACTCTGGGCCTCTTGTGCATGAGGTGAGAGGCCAGGAATTTGATCAAAGGCTGGATGGATAAAGACCAGATTGTGGGCAGCCTGGGAAGCCTATTTAGGACATGAACTCCGAGAAACAGGAATTAAGGAGCAGCCGTCACTGAGGAGAAATGTGACATGACGATAACAATGTAAGGAGCATCTCATCAGATGAGCTGGGAAATTTAACAGCTGGGATTATAAGCTACAGGCTCCACATCTGCTTCTAACACCAGGACGCACCTCCCTTTATCACTGAACCTTTACACAAAACGCCCGTGGGTGGGCAAGCACGGCGACATACCTCCCACTAGGATAATACCGTCACTGACTCCACTGTAGTCACCAAACCCAACAAGATTTACAGCTACTACTCTGAACTGAAACATTCCTTTCAGGTTTTTGGACTTCCACATGCAAATGCTGCTGCAGGACCCATTGAATGCCATCTTCCACCTTAAATCCTGGTTCTGTGAGTCATTTGAAGTGATCTTTCTGAAAAAGAAGCAGTAAAGAGTCAATGCAGAAAATACAGATGAGAATATATGTGTGATTTCTGGTTTGCTAAGATTTCGAGTTAAAGACAGCATCAGAGAGCCGCCTGATCATCCCACCCTTAATCTCATCCCTCCTTCATGGCTTGGCTGCAGAAAACATCATGGTTGCTCTGTAAAGTCATCCTCTGCTGCATGAGCTAACCAACTGAGCCCATCGAAAATGCCACAAAGAATAGACCAAGAGAAAGTTGACAATCCTTTTCCTACTGTTTAGGATACATAAAATCTCTTCAGAATTCCAAACACATAAGAAAACCACATCATAATTTTTAATGAGAAGTTGCCATTTTTCTTAATTTTCAGTCTTGAGTTATTTGTAATTTATTCTATATTTGGATAAGATGATACACAGTATAAAATTGATAAAGAATGTGTCACAGCTCAGCTACCAGAGTTATTATATGTGAGATTTGAGGTTCTTTGCTTCCTTCTATATTGGTTTAAACTGTGTCTCAAAGCTAACCCACACAGTGCTGGCTCAAAGGAAGAAAGCAGAATGCTTTCAACAGCATCACTGACTGAAGGCAAGCTCAAGGCTGAGTATGTGTTCTCTGGCACTGAAGAGCAATTCCTCTATAGTACTTTTAGGTGGCAGCACTTCTAGGACTTGGTACCAGTCCACTGTGAGCTTGGGAAAACACAGTACCATCTGGCTGGGTTCCTGGTAATAAGTGGTTATCCTGAAAAAGCAACAGGATATTGGGGACTGAGCTCAGGAGGGCAAGGAACAGACAGGAGCAGAAGGCAAGAGACCTGGTCACACATGTCTCCAGGGGCAATATGTCCCCAGGATTATCCTCAGCAACTCATTATGACATAATGCACTGGTACATGTGGAGAAGCCTCAGGGTAAGCATTGGCAATTTTATTACTTAAACAACTCTAACATGAAAGAAAGAGGCCTCTAGATATTTCTGAAGCAGCCCTCCATGGCTACTAACCAAAGAAGACACTGATAATTTTCAATGTTGTTTGAGCACCTTCTATTTACAGCACTTTGTGCTAGTGCTTTATATGTGTTGTTTTGTTTCACTGAGTTTTCACAACAACTCCAAAGATACCCATCATTCTCATTTTATAGATTAAAAATAAAAAGCTCACAAAATGAAAATAAGGGGAGATTCAAATACAGTCTGTGTGCTAAATCGAATAGTGGAATAGTGCCCCCATCCATATCCACCAGAACCTGTGAATATGACTTTGCTTGGAAACAGGGTTTTGACAGATGAAACCAAATCAAGATGAGATCATCCTAGATTAGGTGGCTCCTACTTCCGGGACTGGTGCCCATATGAAAAGAGGGGAATGTGGACACAGACTCACACAAGGAGACAGCCAGGTGATGATGAGGGCAGAGGTTGAAGTGACCCATCTACAAGCAAGGAGCACTGAGGATGTCTGCCAACTGTGAGAAGTTAGGAAGTAAGGAAAGTCTTCCATCAAGTCTTCAGAGGGAGCATAGTCCTGCTGACACCATGATTTCAGACTTTTAATTTCCAGAACTGTAAGAGCAAAATTCTATTGTCCTAAGTCACCTAGCTGGTGGTGCTTGCTTCATGATCTTCATTCAAACACTTTTCAGTTCTGAAGTTCACACCCTTTGCACTACTACTGTACCATCAGCAAGTGTATAGAGTTCACCTAGCAAGTCCTGACTAAAGAGCCAACGTAGAGATATTTAAGTTACAACCATTGTTTTGTCACTCTACAGTCTGTATTTCCACAGTGGAGACTGAGGCAAGAAGCATACAAACTATCAAGATGAAGTCAGGCCCTGAAGGTGCTGAAGAGGGGAACACACTAAAGGGGTCCCAGCCGGAACCACAGTGTGGCCTACCCATTGAGAGCAATTACAGCCACAGGCCACCAAGGCAGTTCTGCAGATCAGAATGTATATTGCTGTGCTGAGAAAACAGTAACACATTTCACAAAGGCCTAAGTTAGAATTCTGGCCAAGGGAATTCTCCAGAATGAGCAGGAAAAATTGTTAAGGTTACAGGAATGCAAGAGCAAGATGAAGCAAAAATAGATCTAGAGCTCAAGTTGCCCAGACTATAATTATGGAAGTGACTTTTGTCCTTGGAGCTTCTTAAAAGATGGTTTCATAGTCCCGTGAGGGGAGTGTCTTTGGAATTTGGAACTCTTCCCTCAAGCAGGCAGGAAATTAGCCCTTCGGGGCCAACTATGGTTCACTGCGCTCCCCATACACCCCATGAAATTGCTTATAAGTGACTGGTCTTTGTTGAGAGCACATTTTCAGTCCTGGGAGTGCACTGCAACTGCGATCTTCCCAATAGACGAGAGAAGTCTATGGTACCTGTATGCTTCACACCATTTCAGCCCTTCTCCAAAGTTACAGTTTTAAAACTACCAAGCCCATTGCCAGTTTTTACTAGAGGGTATTCAGCCTTTCTAAAGCAAATGATCAGAAATTCACATGCAGTTCACCACCTGACATCATACATTAGCTCCGCTTCTTAAATAGAATAGACTTAAGTAAATCTTGGTTGCATGAGCCTGTGATTGAATAGTTTCTCTAAAGTTTTAAAGAGCTGCTGCTGATTTCTTAGAGTGATGTGCTGTGCCTCATAATCAGGGTCAAGGCTGACCTCTGCGTGTTGAGCAGAGAACACTGCACTACATGCAAAGTCCAGAAGCCAGAGATCCTTTGTGTTTACATATAAGCACACCTTCATAAATATTCTTACTTTTGATCCCTTTATAATTAACTGCTTCACTCACTGTAGTTTATAAAGCACTTTTACAAACAGACCTACCTGATCTCAAGGAGATAATACATAAGGCTACTTCCATTATCTTCAGCTTTTTCCCACTGTATTGCATTTTTACTCCCTTCTAATAGTTTGGGAATGCCTGGTTTACTTGGGACTCCAGCTTTGGGAAAGAGGAAAATACTGATTGATATACTAGAAGTATGAAGTACACTCCACTGACACTATTCTATAGAGTACATTAAAGAAAGAAAAATGCAGTTTGAAACTTCAGGAATACTCTGATAGAACATTTTCAAATGAGCATCTAAAGTTTTTAATAGTGGTGATTAGGTGGATTAGTGACAGGATTAACAGTGTATCTCAGCTTGACACAAAACAACTGATAAATCCAAATAAAGAAAACTGTCATAAGTTTTGGAAAATTCTCCTCTACCCTTATGTAATCAATATGGAATTATGATATAATTTTCAGAATACTAATTAACAGAGTTGTTATATTTTTCATTTTTGCATCTGGAATATAGAAATCCTTAAATAATTATTTGTTTAGCACTCAGTTACCCTTTTAAATATATTTCGCATTACAAAGTATCATAGCTAGACAGGAAACCTGAATACTGAAAGGAGAAAGTTTTTTCACCTGATGAGAATCACACAAGATCAGGCTAAATTATCTTGTTACTGCCTGTAAAACCCTTGACTGATTTCTTCATGTAAGCTCTAAAAATAGTGATGAACTTGTTTTAAAGAAAAACTTCTACCTTTAGGATTGGTAAAATAAGAGATGAGCAGATCTGGATGTTTGTGGGCTGTCTGAGGGCTGCATATGTGGTGCTCACCTCTGGTCCAGAAGCTTTCAGAGCGTGAGGGGCTTCTGTCTCCTGTCTCATACTGCACCACAACTCGGACACTGTAGGAGGTATACGGCTGGAGATCTGAGATGTTGCAGACATAAGCAGGACCCTGGCTGCAGGAAGCTTCAATGTGGGAAAACTCGCTGTATTTCCCCTGGGGGGAAAAAGCCACATGCCTTTTCACTTAGCACTCACAAGGACACACCTTCCCATCAGAGACACTCCACATCAATGTCCTACTGATCTGGGAATGTTGTCTATTGCACTGTCATGAAGTGCACCACCACTGTTATAAAAAGCAAAGAGAAAAAAGGGAAACAGAATGAAAAAGAAATAGAAATGGTGATCTTAATGGCATTGCTTGTACTAAACTCATCAATTGTGATGAGATGTACAGCTTAATGAAAGAAGGGCATTAGATCTGTAATATTTACTCTGAATCAAGTGTGTGTGTGTCTCTGTGTGTGTGTGTGTGTGTGTGTGTCTGAGACAGAGAGAGAGAGAGAGAGAGGGAGGGAGAGAGGGAGAGAGGGAGAGACAAAGACAGAGACAGAGACAAGTTAGTTATTCCCAGGTATAAACTTCTAGCTCTTGTTTGCCTGCCTTTGTAATGATCCAATGATGCACAGTAGAAATCACCGGAAGTGACTGGACCAGTTGACCAACACTCCACATCACCATCCAGAAATCCCGAGTGCCTCACAGTTAGGGGAGATGTCTGCAGGGAAATGGCCTGGCAATGGCCTCGCCACAGCAGCCCATGCACCTCTCCATCCATCTGGAGAGGTGCTGGGCACTCCTGAACATCACAGGGACCAAGGCTCCCTCTCTCAGAAGCCATCCCATGCACGGGTGAGGGCCATCACTAGTCACCTAGGACATGCATGGGAGGTCTGGGCTCTGATGTCTCACAGACTAAAACTGCAGAAATGTTTGGTTCTGATTGAAATTTGTCAGGATATCTGAGAAAACCACAGTTCTCATGGACTTCCATTAAAAATATACCAAAGCAAAACTCCCTGTGTCTCCTTAATCTTAAACTGAATCTGTTCTTCTGTACACTTTTGTGATTTCTTTAAAGAAAAATCTATATGGTTCAAAATCTAGATAGAAACTTAGGCTTGTGTTCTGATTTCTTCATTTTTTCCAGACAAGGAAGTTATTATTTATCATGTTATTCCTCTTTCATTTCTAAAGCAGTAATATTTACAGGACACCTGTTCTGTCATCTCTCTGCCTCACAGTCTCGGAAAGTGCCGGGTCATTCCCAGCTGTCCCGCTCTGTGCTGTGGGTCCATCTCACTCAGAGAGACAGAAGTCTCTGGCTGGAGGTCACAACCTAGCCTGAGTGCTTCTGGAGCAACATTTGTACTTGAGATGCTCACACATGCAGGTATGACAACAGCTTACATCATCAGCTTTGCAGTTTTTCTAAATGACCTATGAAGGCTGCACAGCCCTCACATGATTGGAGTGACTTTTTTTTTTTTTCAGTACTAAGGATGAGACCCAAGGATTCTCTACTGCTGAGCTACATCCTTAGCTCTGCCCCCTTTGTTTTTTTTAACAGGGTCTCATTAGTCTGCCCAATGGGACTTGAACTTGTGATCCTCCTGTGTCAGCCCCCCTAAACACTGAGATTACAGGCATGCGCCATCACATCAGCTTGAAAGGACATTTCTAAATAAGGTTTTGATCTCTTTGTTGTGGTTTGTTTATTTGTTTGTTTCATTTTCTCATAGAAAACATCACACTGTGATGGACTTCAAACCAGAAAAACCATACTGAATAAAATCCTATGTAATTTGTAATCTGTATCTCATACTCTTTTAGACAGAGCTATTTAAGAGCTCTCTGGGCCCAGCCCAATCTACGGTCATCCCCCTGAGCCATGCCTTTCCCGGCAGGCACCATTGATTGCCCAGCCCCAGTAGTGCCAGGAGGGTAGCCACGCAGCACCGCCCCCACCCCCACCCCCTCAGATCCCCTGATTGTGCCAGTCCTTGGACACACTCTGCAGAAGCATGGCTGGCTATAAAGTGTGGTGGCTGATCCTATTGTGTTCCTCATTGTATAGACTGGGATAAAGGATAAGGATTGATTTGATGAGTTGTTTTCTCAATTATGAAAATGAGAATGTCTATAAGTCATTAGAAAATCAAAGGCTGGGATGCAAGGATATCAGGAAGATTTAATGACCCAGAGATTGAATCAAGGGCAACCCAACAGCGAAAATAAAAATGAGAAAACACTTAAGCAAGCCACAAAGACAGACTTCCAGTCCACCAATGGCAAACAGTAGGCCAAAGGAGGATGAAAAGTCTGATAGTGAACCTCCAGGACACTCAGAACTCACAGCACAGGAAGTAAAAAAACTGATCAATCAAGCTCTAGAAAAATTCAAAACAAAAATAATTTCCCAGATAAGCATAGAGATGGTGAGCAAAATGAAAGACATGATTCCAGACTACAGAACAGAAGCTGACAAAGAAATAGATGAGCTTAGGAACATAATAGAAACCATGAAGGCCCAGAATAAGAAAGAAATGGAAACAATGAACACCCAACATAGGAAATAAATGGAATCCATTAAAGAGATTCAAACAGATATTCAGGAGATTAAAAGCTCTATTGAAAGCATACACAACAGAATAAAAGATTGTGAAGATAGAGTCTCAGATATAGAAGATAGGATCGCAGACAGTGACCGTGAAAAGAGAGTTCCCTTAAAAACAGCAATGGAGCATGAGAAATCGATCCAACAACTCCTAGAAGATGCAAAGAAAAATAATATAAGACTGATAGGAATCCATGAAGTAGCAGGAGAAAATGCAAATGACTTAAAAAAGCTGTTCACAGATTCAGTGACAGAAAACTTCCCAAACAGAGGGGAAGAATTTGACATACAGATAAGCGAGGCATATAGGACTCCAACTAGACATGATCAAAAAAAAATATATACACCTAGACATATAATAATCAAGATCCCAGAAACCCAAAAGAATAAAAATACTACATAAGAATAACAAAATACTACAAGGAGTAAGAGAAAAGAAACAAATCACATGCAACGGAAAGCCCATAAGAATCACAGCAGACTTTTCAGCACAAACCCTAAGGTCAAGGAGAGCCTGGAGTGAGGTATTTCAAGTCCTAAAAGAAAACAACCTACAACCAAGACTAATGTATCCTGCAAAACTCTCTTTCAAAATGGATGGAGAAATAAGATACTTCCATGACAAAGAACACTTGAGAAACTTCATGAATATTAAACCAGCACTACAAGGAATTTTAAACAATATCCTAGAAAAAGACAATGATCACAACACCATGAGGCCCAACAGAGCAATTCAAATAGCCAAGGCAAGAAACTAAAAGGAGAGGTCAAAAAATTAAAAAGACTCAACAAAAGGACAACAACATGACAATAATAAGTCAGTACATATCAGTTATAACCATCAATGTCAATGGCCTCAATTCACCAATCAAGAGAAATAGATTGGCAGAATAGATTAAGAAGCAAAACCCAACAATATGTTGCATACAGGAAACACACCTAGTACAAAAAGAAGCCCACAGACTGAAAGTGAAAGGATGGAAAACAATTCTCCATGTGACAGGAGCCCAGAAAAAAGCAGGGATTGCAATCTTATTAACAGAAAAAATAAATTTCAAACCAAAACTGATTAAGAGAGACAAAGAAGGCCACTACATCCTTGTAAAGGGAACAATCCCAGAGGAAGAAATGACAATCATAAACATATATGCACCAAATATAAATGCTCCCAACTATATAAAACAAATATTAAGTAACCTGAAAACCAAATAAGCACTAGTACAATTGTAGTGGGGGATCTAAATACCCCACTATCACAAATAGATGGATCATCTAGGCAAAAAATCAACAATGAAATACTAGAACTGAAGCAAGCTTTTGAACGCATGGGCTTATTAGACATCTATAGAGTGTTCCACCCCACAAAATCAGAATATACATACTTTTCAGCTGCACATGGGTCATTCTCCAAGATATATCGCATACTAGCTCACAAAACAGGTTTGAATAAATGCAAAAGAATTGAAGTTATTCCCTGTATATTATCAGATCACAGTACAATAAAGCTGGACATCAATAGCATAAGAAACCGTAGGAACTTCACAAACACATGGAAATTGAACAACACTCTCCTGAACAATCAATGGATCACAGAGGAAATTAAAGAAGAAATCAGACAGCTTTTACAAATAAATGAAAACCCCAATACAACACACAGGAATCTATGGGACACAATGAAAGCAGTTCTATGTGGAAAATTCATAGCAACTGAATGCCCACATTAGGAAACCAGAGCAAGCTCAAATAAACAACCTAACAATGAACCTTAGACTCCTACAAAAACAAGAGCAAGAAAAACCCAAAGCTCGAACAAGAGAGGAAATTACAAAGATTAGAGCAGAAAAATACAACACACAGGAATCTATGGGACACAATGAAAGCAGTTCTATGTGGAAAATTCATAGCAACTGAATGCCCACATTAGGAAACCAGAGCAAGCTCAAATAAACAACCTAACAATGAACCTTAGACTCCTACAAAAACAAGAGCAAGAAAAACCCAAAGCTCGAACAAGAGAGGAAATTACAAAGATTAGAGCAGAAATCAATGCAATGGAAACTAAGAAAACAATACAAAAAATAAATGAATCGAAGAGTTGGTTTTTTGAAAGAATGAATAAAATTGATAAACACTTAGCAAACCTTATCAAAAAAAGGAAATAAAAGGCTCAGATTCATGCAATCAGGAATGAGAAAGGCGAAGTCACAACAGATCCCACAGAAATCCAGAGGATCATTAATACCTACTATGAGAAACTGTACTCTAATAAAAAGGGAAACACAGAAGAAATGGACAGATTTCCAGATACTTATGAATTACCAAAATTGAACCAAGAAGATAAAAACATTTTAAACACCCCGATTACAATCAGTGAAATTGAAAATTTAATTAAAAACTTACCAACAAAGAAAAGCCCAGGTCCTAATGGATTCACTGCTGGATTTTACAAGACATTTAGAGAAGAACTGCTGCCATTACTCTTCAGACTCTTCAATGAAATTGAAAGGGAAGCAATATTTCCAAATTAATTCCTGGAAGCAAGTATCACTTTGATTCCAAAACCAGGGAAAGATGTAACTAAAAAAGAGAACTACAGGCCAATCTCCTTAATGAATATAGATGCAAACATCCTCAATAAGATAATAGCAAACAGAATACAGAGGATATCAAGAAGATCACACATCCTGACCAAGTTGGATTTATTCCAGGGATGCAAGGAGGTTCAACTTACATAACTCAATAAATGTAATACACTATATAAACAAAGTCAAGGACAAGAACCACATGATCCTCTCAATAGATGCAGAAAAAGCATTTGACAAAATTCAACACCCATTCATGATAAAAACTCTGCAAAAAATTAGAATAGATGGTCTATATCTCAACTTAATAAAGCCTATCTATGAAAAACTAACAGCCAACATCATATTAAATGGCCCAAAACTGAAAACCTTCAAGTTAAAATCAGGAACAAGACAAGGATGCCCACTATCACCACTCCTCTTTGATATAGTTCTGGAAACATTAGCCATAGCAATTAGACAAGAGAAAGAAATTAAAGCAATAAAGATAGCAAAGGAAGAAGTTAAACTGTCATTATTTGCTGATGATATGATACTCTACATCAAAGACCCAAAAAACTCCACCAAAAGACTTCTTGACTTAAGATACACTTTTAGCAAAGTAGCTGGATACAAGGTCAACACCCAAAAATCAACAGCCTTCTTGTACACAAATAACAGGCTCACTGAACGAGAAATTAGGGAAACAATTCCTTTCACAGTAGCACTCAATAAAATGAAGTGTCTGGGAATAAATCTAGCAAAAGAAGCAAAAGACCTCTACACTGAAAACTACAGCACTCTGAAAAAAGAGACCAAAAAGGATATAAGAAAATGGAAAGATATCCCCTGCTCCTGGGTAGGAAGAATCAACATAGTGAAAATGGCCATACTACCAAAACTGCTATACAGATTAAATGCAATGCAAATTGAAATTTCAACACTATACTTCACAGAACTAGAAAGAAGAATCCAAAAATTCATTTGGAACCATAAGAGGCCTAGAATAGCAAAAGCCATCCAGACACATGGCAGCGGGTATAACAATTCCCAATCTGAAACTATACTACAAAGCCACTGTGATAAAAACAGCACAGTACTGGCAAAGAAACAGACCTGAGGATCAGTGGGAAAGACTGGAAGATACAGAAACAACTCCAGATGTACTCAGCTACCTCATCTTTGACAAAGGAGCTGACCATCCCCACTGGAGGAAAGATAGCCTCTTTCATAAATGGTGTTGGAAAAACTGGATCTCAACCTGCCAAACATTAAAACTAGAACCTTATATTTCACTGTGAACTAAATTAAAATCCAAGTGGATTAAAGATCTAAACATTAAAACAGAAACACTAAACTTGCTGGAAGATAAATTAGGCAGAACTCTTGAAGACATTGGCGTAGGAAAAGACTTTATGAACAAGTCCTCAGTAGTACGGGAACTAGCAGAAAGAATCAACAGCTGGGATTTCATCTTATTAAAAAGCTTCTGCCCTGCAAAAGAAGCCATCAAAAGAACTAAGAGACAAGCTACAATGTAGGGAAAAATTTTTACCAGCTGCTCCTCAGACAAAGGACTATTATCCAGAATATATAAAGAACTCAAAATAATCACCCCACACACACAAATATAAAGACCCAATTCAAAACTGGGCATCTGAAATGAACAGACATTTCTCAGACAAAGAAGTAAAAGCAGCAAGTAAATATATGAAAAAATGCTCCACATCACTGGTCATTCAAGAGATGCAGATGAAAACAACCCTGAGATTTCACCTCACCCCACAAAGAATGGCTGCTATCAAGAAATCACACAATAAGAAATGTTAGCGGGGTTGTGGAGAGAAAGGAACCCTTCTCCATTGTTGGTGGGAGTGCAGACTGGTGAAACCACTATGGAAATCAATATGGAGATACCTCAAACAACTAGGATTAGAGGTTCCATTTGACCCAGCCATCCCTCTGCTGGGTATATTTCCAAAAGATTTAAAAGAATCATACCACAGTGATTATAGCAGCACAGTTTGTAATAGCTAAAACTTGGAAACAGCCCATCTGTCCATTTGTTGGAAACTGGATAAAGAAGATGTGGTTTTTCTATAAAATGGAGTACTACTCAGCCATAAAGAAGGAGAAATTAGAGTCATTCATAGGAAAATGGACACATATTGAGGATATACTCCTAAGTGAAATAAATAAGTCACACATGTGTAAATACCAAATAGTTTCTCTGGTGTGAAAAACTATAATAGTACACATGATCCTAATGGGATAATTAAGAGTGCGAAATATGAAGAAACGGGCTAAAGGTGTAGGGAAAGGGGGAAGGGTAGGGGAAAGGAAATAAGGGAACAGAAAAAATATGAACAAATGAAAAAATTGAAATAAAGAATTTGTTAATAGGGAGGGGAGGAGGGGGTGAAGGGAGGGCAGGGACAAGGGGAAAAAATGAGAACCAAGACCTGTCATGTGAAGGTACAGGATCCCAGTAATGAATGTAACTGTACTGTAGACCTAGACTGTACCAATAAACTCAATTTTTAAAAAAGAGCTCTCTGGGATTGTTTCCATCAGAGTTAGTCCACATGATTTACTGCTTCTGCATACCAAACTTGAATCAATAAAGTTTGCCAAGTATATTGTTGATTTATATAACACAATAGATATATGAAAAGGCTTTTAATGTACTGTGTCATAAAATAGAGATTTGCATAAAAATTCTACCTTTTGGAGTTCAAACCAAAATCTGATGAGGTTACCATTGGATGGAGCCTTCCAACGTAATTGCAAACTAGTGTCCTCCAGAGCCACGGCCCGCGGTCTCTCTGGTGAGTCGAACATTTTGACGGTGATGCGGTGACTCTCGGTGCACCACATTTGCTCAGAGTGGCAGGCCAGAACCTTGCAGAAAAGAAGGGTTGCTTAACCTTTCACAAATGTGAGCTCAGGGATGGCAAAGAGCACCACCACCATTCTTCACCTTTAGCACATAGAGCTGTCCGCCAGACAGGGCTGCGAGCAGGACAGTGAGCCTCGCCTTCGGGTACTGGCTCTGTCTTAGAGGAGTCTCGGGGATGAGCGGCAAATGCGAAATCGCCAGCTGATAGCGGACGGACTCTCCAGGTCCGTTTGGCTGCGGAGATTCTCTCCAGGACACCAGGAGGCTAGTGTCTGACAGCACGGTTGTGTTGATGAATCTAACGGCTCCCGGAACTGAAATAAACGGCAACGACAGGTAAGAGGTGCTGCGGCACTCCAGGGTGGAAAGCGGGAGGGCGTCCTGGCTGAGGGATCCCATCTTGCGAGCAGGAGGAACAGCAGGTGCCGAAGGGAACCGGCCCCTAGAATGGTGAGTTAGCTGGGGCCGGACAGGCTCTCGCCTGCTTTTGCTTAATGACCAAATGTTCTCTGATTCCATCTCAAGGGTGCAGTTAGGGACAGATTACCCAATAGATGAGCTTTGTACAGATCATCACAAGCATCTGAACGAATAATCACTGACTCTTACAACACCCTTTTATAGATGCCAGAGCTATTTGCTTTAAGAAAGCCATGTCCATTGCCATAACTCTCAGTGGGCTCAGGGCAAATGGATAGAGAAGAACCCTGGCCTTGTCTCCCACCGAAACCTGCGGGACACAGAGAGAGAGCGCCACTGTGTGGTGGGGCCGAGAAATGTTTCCTGGTTCTGAGTCGCTGTCCCTCTTTATACAATGTTACTCATCATCCTCCAAGCTTACAGCAAAGTTCAAGTTCAAAATATTTTCCACAAATTCATTGTCCTTATTAAACTTTAAAAGCTCACATAATACTTCTTACCTAGCACTCAGATTATTTTTGGTTGTTTTTTTTGTTTTCCATTTTTAAATAAATTTTATTTTATTTTATCCTATTCCACATTCAGAGTTAAAGAAGCCAGATACAGACATACAACACAAATTCCTCCTCAACACACACTGAGCCCATGACTCACCGCCACTTTTTGTCTTTCCCCAGATCGCTGGTCCCAGGGGTAAAGGTTCTCGAGAATCTGAATAATAATTCTTTATAGCCATTTTTATTATGTATGTTGAAAATGGTCGTAAACCTTCAACAAGAGCTATCCTCTCCTGAGACTCCTGTAATTAATTTTTAAAAGTCAATGACTTACTTTTCTATCTTATTCAAGTGTATAGAAATTATTTAACTAAAGAGGAAAAAAATTAAAGACTCAAAATTTTAATATTTTTTAATTCTAGGTTGTTAATAATTATGCCACTGTCTTAGTTTACCCAGACCTGAGTTGTTGAATGTCTCCAAGAATAAATACCAAGTGACTAGCAGTCCTTGGTCCAATTTGCAACATATCACTTCACACAGGAAGCTGAATTCCCTGGAAAGGGCACTTACATTATTGGTATTGCACTGGAAATTCAGCAAGATGATATCATAAGGTTGCAACACATAAATAATACAAGATTAAGCAATATTATCTAACCATTCCTAGAAGTAATGTTTAAGAGAGTAAAAAGGATGATCCTTAGACCTATCGTGCTCACTTTGAATTGGAATCATCTATGAAGTATTAAGTGACAAGGAATCATGGGTAGTTTATGAGAAAGTATACAGTATGGAATGTTCAACAGATGATGGTCAGTTTGACCTTCTGAACTGATTAAATAAAGCCAAGCACAAAACGCAACATTGGCAGTGTGAGTCCCTCATCACTAGGACATCTGATCCTCGAATGCCAATGTTGGAGTGAATGGTGCCAATTCATTCACTCACGCAGGAGACATCTGGTGATGCCAACAGTGCCAAACATGATGCAATCACTGGTGTATGATCATGAGTTTTAAAAAGACATAGACCTTGTGTAGCTGTAAATTTCAAAAAATGTGAAATAAACAAAATATAATTTTCAATGCTTATATGATATAATTGCTATGAAGAACAAGTAGCTGGCAATGTTCTTTCTGCCCAATTCATTTCTTACTCCTCAATCTTCAAGCTACTGGACCAGCCATGAAAAGAAGTGTCCATAGCACTCCAGGGATAGATAACCCCAGAGGCGAACAACCCAGTTATCTCAGAACACTCAGGATCTGTTACCGTGGTGATTCACCAACTGGCCAGAGTTCACATGCGCCATCACAGCTAAAAGCACTCCCAGACAAGAAGCCTGGAACAAAGGGTGCTCTCATGAATCAGCAGCTGTAAGACTGCGTAGTAGCACATCTGAGAACATATGGGAAAGGCTTTGCCATGGCTAAGCGCATCTTGTCACAACACAAAAATGACAGCTTCAGTCTCACCAGTATTTTATATTTCAGGTGAGAGCTGCTTGTCTTTCCATGAAGTTCTGCATAATAAACCAGGTATGTTGGAGTTGGGCCAGAGAGGCCATTCCAAATATGCTTTGTCTTGGCCGGAGGCAGTGCAATTGTGAGGCTGGTGTTGGTGGCATTAAGTATAGCTGGTTCCACCATATCTGAAGCTAGAAACAGAAATGCTTTATCTAAAATAAGAAGAAAAGGAAGATCAATACAGGTACAAGGGGAACAATAGATTTATTTAACATCAAGGGTAATATAAAAGGTTAGAAAGAAATTTGTAGAGCACTTTAGCTTGAGAGAACAAATATGAAAATGCTTTGAAATAATGCTCTTTGAAGAAATAACAATGGCTGTATTCTGACACAGTGTGAGCAGATGCTGCGAGATGCCACCCAAGGCCCACCCCTCTGCCTTAAGCTTATGCAAGCCTGGCACTGCCCCCACTGGCGTGCCTAGAGGGCAGCAATGCCTAGGACAGTCGTGGGACACAGTGCACCCTGTGAAAGGTGAGTGGGAATCTGTCTTGCTATACTGAGGTCAGACTGGCTCCTCTACACCCTTGCCCTTGCCGGCTCCCTGCCCAGGATGCTGACGTGACGTCTGGAGGGGTAGCAGTCATTCTGTAGGAAGCGACTGGAAGATGTGCTAGAGAAGCCCAGAGAAACAGAAGAGAGGTGGTTGGCAACACAATGGAGCTGCCTGGCCAGAGCACACAGCCAGTGTGTGCACCCTGCCCTTGAGGGGCACCACCCCGATCCTTCAGGAGCAATGGTGCACCTGCCACCCTGCAGGTGAGGCAGGACCTCTCAAATCAGATTTCAGTCCCTGGCAACCAAACGCAGCTTCCCATCTATTTACTCTGGTCATGTCCCATGGAAAACAACCTAAAGGGTTAGCACCATCACGCAAAGAGAACACAAGGTGCACAAAACCTAAATGTAGTTTTCTATGAAACCTGACAGGCCTGCACCAGGGCAGCACCCTTAACCACCACTCATTGCACTCTGCACTCTGGCTCAACCCCGCCGGACTGCTTGGTCACTCTCCCCTGCAGTCACAACCCCACCAACAGTCCTCGTGTGGACTGACCTCACCCTGGCTCGGTCCACAGCAGCCTCTCTCCTGGGCCACAGCACTCAGGTCAGAGCGTGTCCTTGCTGCTCTTGCCATGCCTTAAACCCTCCACCACAGCACTCAGTACTTACAGCAGATGGGTTCAGTTTTACCTTTGCAGCTTTATTTATCTACCACTAGAATGTGAAGTTTCTTGGGCCAAGACTGCTTCCCTAGACTCCCAGGAGGGAGCCTGACACATTTTAGCTGCTTTAAAAATGCTGTACGTATTTACTGGTGTTATAAAAACAAACTATGTCCTTTGCATTCAACAAATAAGAAAATTAGGGAGGAAATGTCTATGAGCCAAACGAGTCCACGAAGCCTGCTCCCCCCCAACTCTTTGACCTTGAGCACTTTCCTCTAGCTCTTCCAAACACAGACCACGTCTGCTTCACAGATGCTTCTGTGTGACCCTACCTCAGGCACGCTGTGAGCTTTTATTAGCATTATTAGTACGCTACTGACAAATTAGGGGCAATAATGCTGATCTGCTCTGGGAGCTCTGAATGTGAATTCCAAACTGCAAAAAAGAATGTTTAAAGATGGAACGACATCATAAATTACCAAGAACAAGGAATGTGAATGGGACTTGGGAAAACAGCTCTGAGCAGAATGGGAGTCTGAAGAAGGATAATTTTACTAAAGTTACAAGTGGCCCAGTCTTTGGCGCCAGTGATATTTATATGGTATATATGTGCTGACCGCTGCTCCAAAGTGAGAATAGGACCCTCACAGCATCCACAGCAATAATCTGATTCAAAGATGATCGGTGCTTTCTCATTATTTTGTTTTTATTTAACAGATATAATAGGATACACTGAAGTACTAGAAATGTCATTCGGGGCAGGAGTTTTTCCATACTTTTTTTTCTTAATCCTATACAGAAAAGGGAACATGGTAATAGGTAATTGCTTAAAATTTCCAGCAGATGGAGGTAAAGTACTCTCAATAATGTACCTTGAAAGTTGTAAAGTTGATATTTTTCTCAAAAAATGACAGCATTATATTAATCATATTTTTCATGAGTTTCAGTAAAAAAAACCTCATGCCACCTGTAGGATTTTATTTGTAAGTATATATATGATTGCGTATTTGTGTGGTGTGTTATTCAACCTCAAACAGATATTACATGTACTTTTTTAAAGCACAAGCTATTTTTGTGCAGTCTTAGGTTTCCAGTAAACGGAGGGGAAGGCACAGAGACTCCCCACACCTATGTTCCCATACGTACATAGCATCCCCTCACGTCAGTACCCGTAGAATGGTACATTTGTTACAGTCAGGGACGTGACACCAACAAATCTTTATCACCCAAAAGCCACAGTTTACATTATCCTGCTCGGCAGTCTCTGAGCTTTCTCTGAGCTTCCTTTACCTAGAGTTTTCCTGATATCAATTTGGAGAAATTCTTAGCCACTGTTTTGTATTTCTTCCGTTTCTCTCTCTCTCCTCCTCCCGGTATTCATACTCCATGTGTCAGATCATTGTAGCTGTCCCAAAGTACTTGGATACTCTGTTCTATGTGTTTGTTCATTGTTTTCTCTTTCTTTTCCTATTTTAGATGTTTCCACTGAGATATCCTCAAGCTCAGAGACTCTTTTCTCAACCATGTCATTTACTAATCAGCTTTTCAAAGGCACTGTTGATTTCTGTTATCTCTGGTATTTCTTCTCATTTTGCTTTGTTTATGGAACTCCCACCTCTTTATTTACACTGATCATCTATTCCTTATGTATTGGTGAATATTAAATTCCAAGCATGATGATGCCCACATCCCTGCCCTCAGAGTCTGACTCTTGGGCTGGCTCTGAATCTTCAGACTACGTATGTCCAGTACACCTGGTACTTTTCTCTTGATAAGCAGACATGGTTACTAGATAAAAGAAACTGCGTGAATGACCCTTTAGTTATATAGTAACAAGGTGAAGGGGAGGAGAAGTAGTCTGCAGTTCTAAATCAGTGAGTCTGTGCCTCTGGACGAAGAACTGAAATTAGATCTGATAAACTCCAGAATGTTGGGCTGCGGTTAGTTTCTCCCGAGGGCAAACCTTGTTCAGAACAGAATAATCTAGTGTGCTTCAAGATTGCTCCTTTCCTTCATCATCTGATGGAAATACAAGAAAGTTTTTAAAGATATTCACTGTGAGAATCAGGTCAGGCTCCTGGTGATAAAACTCAGAAAGTGTGGCAGCTCTTTACGACTGAGTTTTCTAGCATTTTGACTCGCAGAGCTGTCCATGCTGAGTCTCTAGCAGAGCAGCTCACTTCGGGTTTCCCAGCCTCAAAGCCTTTTGCTTGTGGAGTTTTGTTTCCATAAACTGTAAATCTATAGTTAGTTGCTCATCTTTCTTCCTAATTTGGGAAAAGTGGTTTGCCCTTTTCTCACGGATCTGAGTTTTCCATTTGCTCAGATTTTTACTTGTTAGGCACAGTGGCAATTTTCAAATTTCCTATATGCTGGACCAAAAACTAGAAGTCACATAGACAAAAATCTCTTCAATTTCTCAAATTGGAAAATGAATTCTTTATAAAAACATGAACTAAGCCTATGTATAACTTCTTACCTTATCCAGTTTCACATATTTTTAACTGAATACACTGAAGCAAAAAAAAAAATTGGTTTGTTCATTTCTGTCCCTATCTCAGAGAGAATTACACTTTATAATGACATTTTAACTTAGTAACAGAGAAAGCTTTAAAAGAGCCAGAAACTGCTATAGGTTTCAATGTCATCAATAAAGAAATGTAATACAGATTTTGGGTTTTTTTGGTGGTTGGTTTATAGATTTGTCAAAAGTTTTGTTATGACCTTCAGTGACAAATATATAGTCAGTCCTGATAAAATGTGATCCATACTTTTCTATAAATCGTTGCATTATAAACACCATGATATCAAGTTCATACAGCTCGAGAAGTAACAGGATTAGCGATACAACACTACAAAACTCTATCAATGGCACTAAGACGGGAACTTAGTAAAAATGGGAGCACAGACTCACCCACGTTAAACAGCATGGAGTAACAGTATTATAACACTCATAATATGTGGCCTCAGTGCAACACGCTACCTAATGCATGATCCATTACACCACACTTTAACTGGAAAAGGACCTACGGTTTTACACAGTGCTTTTTGACACCACCGAGGCCTAAAATATCACTAAAGGAGAAAAAAGAAGAGAAATTATGGGACTGAGGAAAGAAAGAAGTCAGGCGGAGAGAGTGCCGGGACCGGGCACGTCCTGAGCAGCGCATGCAACCAAGCCGTGCACAACCCGATGTAACCTGTGGCCCCGGACAAGCAGCAACCTAGTGAGCGATGAACACTGCGAGGTTGAGGGCAACAAAGAGCGCTTTATGGCACCGGGGAGGGCTGGCCTTGGAGCGGAGACGAGCAGTCACGAGTGCAGCCTTCTTACCTGGGAAAGGTTGCACAGCCGAGCTGTACGCCAGGATGCACTGACTCCTCAGGGGCTTCGCCTGGGCAATGGCAGCGCCGCCTCCTTTCTTTGCTTGATAAACCTGTGTGTTGCCCTTTGCCGTGATGATCCAATATATAAACTCTTTATCCACAGTTAAGCTAACAGGTGTTTTTCCTGCTGATTAAAAACATAAAGAACATGGAATAAAGAACAAGTTAAATCTCTCAAGGCTTTTACTTTCACCAATATATGAAATCCTTTAAAACTGCTAAATTTTTAATTTTCCTATTATTTCAATATGAAGTAACATTTTGGGTAAATGAGGGGTGCTCTCGCTTTATTTCCATATCAAGCCAATAAGGTAAATACTATTACCGCCAGCCACATGTTCTGAAAGTGAACTAAGGCTGTAAGTAGTTCATGATCTACTTACTTAAGAGTGCAAGGTCCTGAGTTTGATCCCTGGTACCAAAAAAAAAAAAAAAAA